GGAAAATCCTACAATTGGCGCCCGAAAAGTTTTCAATGGACCATGTCGTTAGAGACCGGGAAGTTTACGTTGACCCCTCCGACCTTTCTGGTCCCTCAGACGGCCGCGAATCCAATGGAAGGATTCGGATTCATCGTGAAAACGATGCATGCAGCTATGAAGCCAGCTGCAACGTTTGATGGCAAAGGTTCAGTCATAACCTTCCTGGAGCAACTGTACCAGCATTTTACTTTATACCAGTGAACAGCTGCAGGAATTGTAAAGTTTTTGTTGGGAGGACCCAGGTTCGGAATAGTACAGCTGGGAAAATTTTAAGTCTGCATTGCTGAAGTTAAAATCAGTTTGTGTTTGTGTGATTATGGCAAAGCCTCGAGGGCTATCTGCCTAAGGGGAGGGATGCCTTCGTGGAGGACTTTCTAAGGGAAACTGGCTCGTATACACGTTACACATGGGGAAAACCACGAAAACGCCCATGCAGCCAGCCCGTTCGCGGGATTCGAACCTCGGACCGAACTACCAGTGTTCAGCGACTTTACCGCTCGGCCGCTGGTGGGCCAAAGTTAGAATCAGAATTATTTAGTAAATATCCATGCAATTTCGATGTGTTGAAGGAGTTTATTCTACGAAAAAATTCAAAATCTTCAGTTTATTATACGGGAAGGAGGCCCGATAGTGAACTTATCGAGGTAATCCTACCGCGTCCTACTACCGATTTCCTCCCGTCAGCTCAAGTCAAGCTTTACCGTCAGCTCAAGTCCATAACCCGAAGACATTAGAAAATCTATTCCAGCTCGCGGTGAAGTTCCAAAGCAGAAGGAACTCGGAGAAAGCGGGATTCTAAGAAAGCAGGAACCAGTTTGGCCAACATTCAAGGTCTACTCCGCAGAAGAAACCGCAAGTTCAGCAGAGTGCGTATCGGCAGACAGGAAAAGGTGGAAAGTCCGATAAGAAAAGCGCGGATAAATCTAAGGGTGGCGGATACAAAAATTAGCGAAAAGAGGAGGCAGGGAACCAAAATTTAAACGAAAACCGGTGATCGAGAATGGGGCACGGTCACCGAGTGGGAAGAAAAGTCCCCTTAGAAATTCTTCTAAATACAGTAGTGGTGCAAGGTCTAGCCATGCCGGAGATGCATATTCTTGTAAATAATGTACCAACCACTGCGCTCCTGGACATAGGGGCTCAGTGTTCATTTCTCTCAGAAGATTTCTTTAAGAAACATTTTCGTCGTTATAGATTATTTAAAACCACCGGACAAAAGGTAACTGCCACCCAAGCCAAAAAGAGCGTATGTTTGGAGAAAACCGCACTGTATGTACAAATTAAAAATGAGGTGTTAAAAGTTAACTTTTTAAACGTAAAAAATTTACTCATATCCGTAATATTAGGGGTCGATTACTTACACGCAGCTAGCGCGAATCTTAATTTCCAGAATTCAACGTTTCAGGTCGACATGGACTTCGTGGAAGAAGAGGAAGAGTCTATGCCGGAGATGGGCTTAGACAACCTGAAGAAAAAGGAAAGATTGAAAAGTTAATTATTTGTTCAATGAAGTTTTTGAAAGGAAGAATTTGAAAGTTAATTATTTGCTTCTGCCAGATAGTGAATCATGCTATTGATACAGGCAACACCCCTCCAGTCTGGTCGAAACCTTATCGATATGATAGAATCAAAGAACAGATTCTGGAACATCATATAAAAACAATGTTAGAAAATAAAATCATTGTGCCAAGCACTAGCCCATACGCAAGTCCGATGGTCCTTTGCAGAAAGAAAAATAAGCTACCACCCGAGCACGCGGACGCCTACAAGTTTGCAGTTGATTATCGCAAACATAGCAGTGTAACGAAGCATCTCACGTATCCCTTACCAAAAATTGATCAAAGCATCAGAAAAATTCGTTCTACTAAGTTTATGACAACCTTAGACTTAACGTCTGGTTATTTTAAAATCGCCGTAGAACTTGAAGATGTTGAAAAGACTGCGTTCATTACAAAGTCACCCGTCTATGTCTTCTTAAGAATGCCGTTTGTTTTAAAAAGCAATGGATATAGTTAAAACTATATTTTTTTTGGCCAATTTTGGGTAAAAGTACAATCATTTATCTCGATGATATATTAGTCACCAGCGAAACAATAGAAGAATATGTGAAAGTTTTTGCATTGCTTAACGAGGCTGGTTTCAAAATAAGTGCAAGAAAGTGCAAGTTCGCTGCCAAGGAGTTGCGCCAAGTATCTTCGCGCAACAAGTTCGCTACCAAGGTATCTTGGGTACAAGATTTCGAATAAGGGCATGGAGCCCGATAATTCTAAAATATTAGCGATTAAAAGTTACCCACCCCGAAACACTGTGAAGCTATTATCTTCGTTTTGGGGTTTATATTCCTATTACGGAATGTTTATTAAAGACTTTGCCAAAATTGTTGAACCTCTTCCAGTGCTGAAAAGAAAGAAAACTAGATTTTCTTGGACTGCCGAGGCGAACACCACTTTTGAACTACTAAAAGATGCCCTAATTAATGCCCCAGTCCTCGAATTCCCAGAAGGCGAACAAGATGTAGAGATTTCCGCAGATGCGTTGCGTCCGATTATGCAATTGGAGCTGTGCTTTCCTAGAAAGGACAACCGATAGCTTTCTTTTCGAAAACGCTGAATTCAACCCAAAGGAACTATTCGGCAACAGAGCGAGAAACGCTAGCTGTTTTATTAACGATTCAGAAATTTCGCGTGTACTTCGGAAGTTCTCCGATAAGAATATACTCGGACCATGCGGCAGTCAGTCGCTTATATTCGGGGGAAAATTTATCGCCTCGCCTGATACGGTGGGCATAAAACTGCAAGAATTTAATTCAATTATAAAACACATGCCCGGAAAAGAAAATTTAGTTGCCGATGCCCTTTCAAGAATAAAAATCGACGAGGAGGGGAATGCAGTTAATAGTGCTATGCTCACTTCAAAAGTTATTGAGTCCCGTGAATCCATAGTTGAAGAATTAAGAAAGGATCCGGAATTTAAAGATATTTACGCATATCTTCAAGACCCCGAAAAGTTTGAACATATAGATTTAACAGCTATTCGCAATAGGGCGGAGCATTACGAAATAATCGACAAACTGCTATTCTACACGAAAGTAACAAATGATAATCAGTAAATACCGGCCAGTGATCCCAGCGAGTCTACATTTAAAGAATTAAAAGAATTGCATGATTTGCTGACGGCTGGTCATTTCGAAATTCGAAAGACCGTACAGAGAGTATGCGAAGCGGTTTATTTTCCGCAGTTACGGCGTATGTTAAGTCGTGCCATTTGTGCCAATTAATAAATGATGTTAATTACAGCCCGCCGGGTATTTAAAAAACATAAAGATCACTTTCCCAGATGAAATGGCTGGCATCGATTTGCTCGTACACTACCTGAGAACAAAAATAAACAAAAATAGATATTTGTTAACGATTGTAGACCATTTTTCAAAATGGGTAGAAATAGTCCTTCTTAAGCGAGCTTCAGCTAAAATAGTCCCAGATACGTTTTTAAATAAGTATATTTTAAAATAAAAAATTTTAAATATATTAATTTTCTCATGTCATGCTAAACCTAGGAAGTATCCCAGTTTTATTCGGCAACAGTTAACACCTGTACTAATAATGTTAATTTATGATACGTTTTGGCATGCTTGTATGTAAATTTTTCCTATCACTAGACACGTTGTTTCACAGCTGGGCTGCAATTACTTGTAAAAATTTAAATAATATCCACTTAATTAGATCATACTCCGTAGTTAATGTTTAATGTTTAACGCAAAGTTAGTCCTCCCTCCACCTTTTTCGGCTCGCCAATCCTAAATCGTATGGCTCTAAAAACCCTCCTCCTCGAATATGCCTGTCAGCTTTTTTATGCTACACTTTCTCTCCTCCTCCTGCTATTCTCCACAGTTTTATTTTGTAGTAAATGAGTTGCCTCCCTAACTGATGGATGTGATAGTTCCACTGCTGCTGCTTTTAGCTCTTTGAAAACCTAAGCCTTCTCTAACTTGTATGTTAAAATACCTAACCGCCCGAAATGATTTTCGAGAGACACAGCAATTTCCTCCCCTCCCCATCCTTTAACGCACAAAGAAGAGTGAAGATTTCAAATGACATCCTTTCTACTTCAAACAAGTAAAGATAAGAAACCAAAGATAAATCCTTTTAGGGAAAGCTGTCTGCAATAAACTGATACAATGTATTTGGGGAACCTGCTACTGCTACTGCATACCTTATGGGAGGGAAGAAAACAACATTGGAATTTTGTCCGTTTGGGGCTGTTGTGGTCGTTTGAATGAAAGGCCGTCTCGGCCGTTATGGTTAGTGAAAGAGTTAACTAACTCTCGTAAATGCCAATTGAAATTTTCATCTCAGCAACTATTTGCAGCTAAGTATTTTCTCCAATTTCGTCTCAAAATTTTTAATTGCTATCAGAACTATGTTCGTAACATCTTCATACCTATATTGCTGTAAATCTTTTCCCCAATTTTTATGCTATGCTTATTAAAAGATATGTAAAACATCGATTTGATACACACAGGGTAAGGCGAGGCCTAGGAACCCGAATGCGTGACTTCGTCGCTTAATAAGAAGGATATCTTTATACTCTCGGAGATCGGAGATCACCATTCATGAAGTGGTGTTCGACCCGAAGGTCTTTACCACTCCATGTTTATCAATCCCCTAAGGAGCTGTAAAAGTTCGAAAAATTCCATAAAAATGGAACAGTTCTGTGCACTTGTAATAAAAATGCAGTCTTCAGTAGTGAAGAGCATACGTCACGTAATCTCTGAAGTCACTGGACTGTATTTCAGAGTTGTAACCAGAACTTTTTTATATTGCCTATTACGGCGTTTCTTTGATATTTTTGAAGGAACTGTGTGCAATGATCAAGCCTCGATGATGTAACTATTATCCGTCATTCAACTCCTAATTTAATTTATTTTCCTGTTTTGTTCAGTTTTAACGGTCTGGCAACACTGCTCGTTGCACCGGTCAACATTGTAGCAGACAGCGAACGGAGACGATGGCATTGCGTTTTACATTTCTCAAAAATTTTCAACGTAATTATCGAAGGTAATGGCATATTTTGTGAATTACTTGTAATCTAAATAATATTTAAATATTATTTTCCGTACATTCTTATGTCTTTTGATATACTATAAAAAATGTTTTATGATGCAAGAAGTTATCGTTTTACACGTGATGCAAAATTGCATATGACTGAATGAAACAGAAATTTCTTTTTGCGTACAGATTTTAAATAAAAGAAATTTGCACATTTATGGTACACTTTGCTACATAACAATGCTTTTGAGTACAAATAAGTTTTTCGCCAACTTTACGAAAATTTAATCTTATGAAAACTTTACAAAGCACTGATCCATCAGATGTAAATGTGTCTGTCCCAAATTCTTTTGCAAAATACAGGAGATCTCCAATTATCCGAATCAGTTGGGACCGGACCCCATTCGAATAATAAAAAGTTCAGTAATTGGATTTTTTTCTGAAGAAAGGGGACACTAATTAATTACTGTATGTTGAAAATAGGAGAAAAAACTATTTTTAAAGAAAAAGATGTTTCAATTAACTTAAATGAAAATGCAACACTTTTACGTACATGTTATATAGTGTACTGTGAAGTACTTACAAGTTCTGAATGTCATTGCTTGTTGAAGATCTCGGCCAAAGTAAGCTGCTTCACTGTCTTCATCCATTTTCAGGCAGCCAAATTGCTTATCCACTTGAGAATCAGAAGCTGCATATGGTTACACTTGGGCTGACGCTCCATCCACTTCACTGTAGTTTCAATGTCAGCAAACCCTTCACTAGCTGATGTTTTCATGTCTGGTTCAACTTCGACATTAAGATCATCTTCCTCAACAACTTTCTTTTCCCATACTTCCAATAAATTCATTATAATTTAGAATTTGAAACCCAGGGTCTGAGGAATCACACACAAACCATTCTGCTGTATCTTCAGCAGTAACTTCTGAACATCCAGTAATTTTCAGGAGAATGTTTCTTTATTCCTCAAGTGACATGTCATCCTCATCTTCTCATGTATCTTCCCTTTCCTTTTCTTGAGCTACTTTTTTCTTTTTCTCCTTTGCCTTCTTCAGGTAATTCTGAAAGTGATTCGGATAGTCGGGAGTTTTGATAATTGGAGTTGTACTGTACCTTAACTTTACTTTTATCAAAAGCTCTGTTTTAACACATGGCAACATAACTCACAAGGCAATCCAAAGAGACAAACGAAACGGAAGATTTTCATCAGAATTTAGTTTGCAATTTATTTAAAACAAACATTCAAAAAGTAATTTTTAATGGAAAATTTTGGTGGTAACAGTTCAGGTATTGTTATTTTTAATATATCAAACATATTATCATGCCTGAATATGAATTCTGCTAGTTATGGCTGTAGGTGATGACTGACAAAACATAACACTGTATCCCTGGTCTTTCACTGGTCTTCATAAGGTTCTACTTTTTGGGTAAAGCATCTAGTTCTGTCAAAGGTGGAAAGATTGAAAATAGTAAGCATATTAAGTGTTTAATAATGAAAAACTGTTATATTTTAAAAGAGACAATATTTAAAAGAGAAAGCTAAAGAAACAAATTATGTGCATGCACACCAATTGGTAACCATTTGTTTCTCACTAAAGTGGAAATGTACATATTAAATATTTAACAATGAAAAGTATGTATTTTAAAAGACAATTTTCACCTGCTGAAGAAAAGTAAATCATGTGCACAATCTAATTAGTAGTGATTTTTGTCTCATTAAAAGAGAAATGCAGCAATTCCTTTCTTCCACTAAGGCCCCTACTTTCACCCCCCTTTTTTCACTAATAAAAAAGGGGAATATGCTGAAAAGAGATGAAGAAAATCGAGTGAAGTACCTATTTTATCATTTATAATTGATCTGGCAACATTTAATAAAAATATACCATAATATAAGAATTACCACATTTTGTTAAAATTAGTATCTCTTTATTTACAAGAGGAAGACAGCAATTAAAAAAAATTGCAAAATTCAGCCTTGAGTTTGATATCAAACAAGAAGGTGGATTTATTTTAAGAAACAATTCTTTATCCTGAGCAAATGTTCTACTCTGGTTCAAAGAGATTTGTAGATTATGAACTTCTTTTTAGAAAATGAAAGTAGCTTTCAGTCGGTCATTTGTGGATCTCACCAGCTGTCTAGTGCTATGAAACACTGGTCATTCATTACAGATTCCGTGAACTTTACTGGTTGCATACAAGTTTTCATATTTAACATGATGATATGATTTTCGTGTATCATAACAAGGATTTTCTATTACTTATATATTATTGCAACCATCGTGGTAGAAGTTGTTGAATTTTCAGAATGGGCCAAACTCTGGTAACCCTACACATAAAAATTCTTCTAGCAACCATGCTTGTAAAATCCTTCAGTCAGACAATGTCACAATTTTTGTATGCATTCTTTTTGTTGTACTCCAAGTTCTATCACTTTTTAAGACAAACTGCAAAGTTTTTTCCCCCTTTAAGTCAATTATAAACTGTTGTTTATGGAATTTGTCGGGAATCTATGGTAAAATTTCTGCTGGAAGAGCTTTTTTGCCGTAAAATTGCTAAAGGGAACAATGATCAAATGCATTCGGTAAACAGCTAAAAGCCAATATTGAATTTAAGAAAATTTTGTGTTTTTTAAGCAAAACTTGATTGTTGTGTACATGGCGAGAACACCAGTAAAAAATTATAGAAAGATTTTTCAAAAAACATGTTTTATTATTTTTTAATGCTTCCTTTTATTCTTATTTAATAATTCAAATTTGTATTTAGAATTTTTAAAGTGTATTTTCTTTTGACATGTTGATAAAATTTGTTGACTTACAGTAAATATCAGTTGTATGAAAATATTTTTTTAAAAAGTCTAAAAAATCTTTAGCTTGCAACTGATAATTAATTTTTGCTTTTCATCTGTAAAAAATCATGAATTGTGCCAGAGTGGTTGCATTAATACGCAAGTATCGATTTTCCTAGTCATTTGTTTAACACATGTAAGTTAAATACATTTTAGTTCAAAAGATATTCCTTTCCTTAAGCTGCTTGCCTGTATTTTTATAACAATTTTTAAAGCAACTTTTTTTCACTAGGAATAAATTTTCTGCTCCTGTGTAAAATAGATCTGAAACTAAGGAGAAACTGAAACAGATTACTGAAAGAAACTGAGATCTGAAACAAAATTCTTGATAAGAAATGACTCACATCAAACATTTTCCTTAACAAGCCTGAAAAAAACCTCTGTTCTGATTTTTTACTCCCATATTTAACTTGTAGTAGTTTATGTACAAATGTGAATTGCAGAAATATAAAACTAAAGTGTTTGTTATTATGTAAATATCTTTGGTTAATACATAAACTTTTTTTCCTTCCATCAGGTGGAACCACTTTCAAAGATGTCGATATTATTCAAGCACTTCCCCAAGTCATGATGCAAAGTATGCTGTAGGCAGTAAAATTTTAGGTTACTCTGTGAAAGAGGTAATCTTTTCATTTTTCAGTTAGTTTGATTCTGACATAAAAATTATTGGGAATAATATATTTCAGTGTCCCCCTTGGCAAAAACTTTTTTGGCGCCATTCCTATTTACGTGCAATACCCTCCCAAGTTAAATGGCGTCTGAAATATAATGCAATAAAACATAATTAAAATGTAACAAAATTATAATCTCAATAAACTGCATTTTAAATGAAAATAAAACCAGGAAATAACATAAAAATGGAAATACTTGTTATCTAATCTGCACAGCACAAAAAGGAAATTTTGACAGTAAAATCCTAGTATATGGTATCGACTTGGCACACATTTCAAAATTATCCCCAACACCAAAATGGCTCATCATAAATACTGTGTTTACTACTCATCATAATGTCGCCAATGTACAACGATTAAACCATACTGACCTACCTTATTAGAAATTTCTGTGACTTTGATGTGAGGCACACAGAATTTTTAAGCAGCATCCAAAAACTATTTAAAATTATCTGAACTAGAATCTGTATAATGATGTCACCACATAAATTCACAAAAGTAAGAATCAAAAATATACTCCATAGTGCTGGACTGTCGGTGGCATTTCTTTAGAAAATCCCTTTTTATTACACCCCGACATATCTTCGATAGTGTTGATATGAGCTCTGTTTCCAGTCAAAATCCTTAAATGTCAGTGTATGATTTACTGAGAGGTGAGCAAGGCCATTATCAGAAAGGCAACAGTAAATTTTCCATTAATTGGATATGATCATTGTTCTAGGTAAGATATTCCGTTAAATTACATCCAACAAAGTTTTTCTTCTGTCCTCAACCACTTTAAAAATATCTCTTCTGCTCCCTCATTCTATACTGCTAAACTCCCAGTTTACCACCAACAACCATTTGGTGATGTAAAGCACAAAATAAGCATCGTATTTCCTAATCGACATCCAGTGCAGAAATAAGCCGAGATAAGTGTTCTCCCAACAAGCTAAATCAGCGCAATCATGCATTGCAATCAATCACATCATCATAGAGTTTCCAAAACATACACCATAAAATACTCAGGTGACCATAAATGAAACTTAAATACAAGGTGATAATCCAAGGGGTACCCCAAAATACAGACTACCCAAATTATTACTTTGAATGAAAGTATAAATTTATTAATTATGTTTTACTTACAGGTAGAAAAAATATCAGAACTCAATCTTACTGCTATTCGTTTGGAGCACGATGAAACTGGAGCAGATCATTTACATCTTGCTTGTGATGATACAAATAATCTGTTTAGGTAATTTTACTGAATTATTGTATAGAATCAAATAATTTTGATGTACATGATAGTACAGTACAAAGTCCGTAATCCGGATTCGTAGGGACATCGGCGATTCCGGATTATAGATCATCAAAATAAATCTGGTAAGATGGCATGCAGAAATAATACAATTAAAAATATGAAACCGTAATTTATGAAATAAAGAGCAATCATGATCTAAATCAAAATTTACAAAAAAAAAAAAAAAAAAAAAAAAAAAAAGCTTAATATTTGTTTTAGTAAACATTTCTATCAGTGTAAGTTGTTTAAGTTGCTTCATTTCTTGTGCTAATACAGTCAAAAGTCTTTAACTCCTTCGAGCCGGGTAGCGAAAACGCGCATTTATCGCGGAGGCCGGCAGTGTCTTACGCGAGCGTCTCTCCAGGGCCGGGGGCTTCTTTGCTACTAAGCCTAAATCCATGAAATTCCGAAGTATCAACGCATTGTTTAATAATGCTGTATAGAGTATTTAAACGGCTTATGCTTTATAGATATTTATATATATATACTTTAATTACCTTATTTCTTGTTTAAATGCATATTTTACACATTTTATTTAAATACTCACCATTTTATGACTTTTAACATTATACATCTGAAAACTAAATATATTACTTAAAATTCTCTTTTCGTATGAAAAATTTGAAAACAGGGATCTACACACAGTCCTACATTACATTCCTTTCACTCGTAATAACTGATTTGCCATTTTGGAGGATTTTTCTGGGAATGTCAACAAACGAAGCATCATCGTCTCATTTTCTTATCAGTCTCTTCTGAACAAAGTTTTGGAAAACGTCTTTCAGTTAATCTTTCAGAATCAATATCTGAAATATTTTGCATCATTTCTATTTCATGCTCTGTTAAACATTTTCGACGCTTCGACATTGCAACGGTAAAAACAGAAAGAATTCATGTCTAACAAGATCTAATTATTTTCTAAAAACTGAACTGCAAACCGAAATACTCAACGCTTTAGTGCATATAAATCTTCTACTTACGATAAACAACTACCACGTGCGAATAAAGTGCGATTTAAAGAGACGTCATAAATCACGCCATTCGGAAACATTAGTTCTTCCCCATTTGTTTATATAATCAAAAACACGTATATGTGAGTCATGCTTCTCTCATTTCGAGTAGAAGGTCTAATGTATATGTATCTGAAACCATATGGACATACAGTGCCATCTTGTGGCAGAAATTATAGTTTGAAAAACGTTCCAGGGTACTGGCACAAATACATTACAATCGGCAGTAAACGGGAAAATGCCCTGGCACGCCTGCGTGTCGGCCGGTAGGTGAGTGTGTTTGTTGCTGGCACGTAGACGTGACAGTTGGCGCAAAGGGGTTAATGGACGTCCATTGGAATAATCCAGACCTCAAAGCTGCAAACTTTCTGCGCATGCGTAAATGCATTATGCGTTTACGCATCCACATAATACATTTACGCATGCGCGTTTAATGTATAACGGACAGTATAAGCTAAGCTAAAATTATCTAATTATCTATTTCAGTTAATGTTGCATATTGTGTTGTTCCTTAATCTGCTAATTGGATCCGCCTTATTATTTTTTGCAGACTGTTCGAGCGTAAATGCATTATGTGTTTACGCATCCACATAATACATTTACGCATGCGTGTTTAATGTATAACGGACGGTATAAGCTTAGCTAAAATTATCTAATTATCTATTTCAGTTAATGTTGCATATTGCATTGTTCCTTAATCTGCTAATTGGATCCGCCTTATTATTTTTTGCAGACTGTTAGAGCAATTTTATAAAAGTAAGCTTGAACTTTCGGTTATGAAAAGATCAGAAAGAATTTCCGATTCTGGAGCTGCCAAAGGATCTACAGAGCGAAAGCATGTTTCGATGTTCATCAAACAAAAAATGGATAAAGGCATATCCTTTGTTTCTCTAACCATTCCGAAATCTGTTTATCAATTTCACGCTACTCTGCGGGGGAGGGAATGTCGCGGCGCGCAATGAACTGAGAGTTGATCTGTCAGCACTATCCTTATTTTCAGGGCAGATGTTTTTATTTTATTCGGCTTATAATTCCTTACTAAATGTGGTATTTCATCTCGATGTACTCCGTCTTTGATATGATTTAAATCAAATTCCTCGTCATTATAAATATCATGAATACGCATCAAATAGTTTTCTGGTTGCAATTTTCTAATTTCGACTATGCGTAATGTACGCTTTATGCATGCGCGCGTTGAAAGAAATGTTTAATAAAGTAAACAAATAAATATTAAGCTTTTTTTTGTAAATTTTGATACCCTTTAGATCATAATTGCTCTTTATTTCATAAATTACGGTTTCATAGTTTTAATTTTATAATTTCTGCATGCCATCTTACCAGATTTATCTGATGATCTATAATCCAGAAAAACTGATAATCCGGAATCGCCGAAGTCCCGACGAGTCCGAATTAAAGACTTTTGACTACTTTCTCTTCAATTCTATAAGCAGACATAATTTCTTGTTCAGTTACAAAGTTCTACTGTTCAAGTCCTTTAATTGCTGTGTCGAGAATACCGACTAACTTGTCAATAGAAATTTTTTCATTTTCAATAACGTTCTCTGTTACTTTCTTCACTATTGAAAGTGCGCATGAGTAAACGCTTTACTGGCTTTATGCGCATGCGTAGTGGAAGCGCGCATCAAATGCGCATACGTAAGTTTGTGGCTTTGAGGTCCGGATTATAGATCATTCCGGTTAATGCACATCCGGATTAGAGACTTTATACTGTATGTATAAAAGAGAAAGAGAGGAGAAAGCATATATTTTGTATAACACTAAAGATGATTCAAAGCCTGACAGTCGTGAAAAAAAATTTTCTTGCTTCTGGTTCTGCAAAATATTCGTTTTCGGAAAATTTTCAGTTTTATTTCTTCAATTTTCATTATTGAGTTTCATCTTAGGAAACTGATTTAAAATGAGGTATAAATCAAACCATTTTTAAAATTAGGTAAGGGAAAGTAAAAAGAACTTACTGACAACTCATCTGCTTAGTCATTTGTAGGAATGGATGGTTTGATCAAGGTTGTCTTTTTTATGAATATAATTATGTGCTACAAATTGCAGAAAACAACAAATATACCTTTTTGTTTTCGTGAACAAACTTACCTAGAAAATCAATAGATGAGATTCTCTTACTATTTGATCACCACACACATCTTCTGCATATTGAAAAAATTAAGTTATAAATTTGCCATTACTCCAGCCCATCCATCTGGAAATTGTTAAGATCGCTTAAATCGTATGTCACCCACAAGTATTTAAGATATATGTATATACTGTCTTGATCCGCAATGAAGATATAAGCACAGAAACTTTGCTTACTAGACGTACATTAATTCAACGTCTAGAAAATTATAAGTAAGAATTGTGAAGCATAAAAAAGTTTTCTATAACACTCTGCCAACCAGTTCATCAGTGAAAGTAGCACATTTTTAGTTAAACACTTCTTTGGTGATTCACACTCAGTAATTGAATGGGACAAGGCTAAAATCATTGCCAAAGCCGGGCATAAAATCAGCTTAAATATTAGAGAAATGCCTGAAATCACCAGTAAACCATGTTGCAAAGATACCTTCACTTCAAACTTCTATACATCTGGATGTCAATTCTGACTACTGCAACCCTGCGGAAATCAATAAAAGATGATGAACATTATCAAACCATCCATTCCACCTCCAACTGATGTAGCAGATGGATTGTCAGTTAAAGCTATTCTGCTTTTATTTATATTTAAATCTGATTCCAGCCTGTCGACCTAGAGTATTTTTTCATTTTTTACTTCATTTTAAATGCATGTCTGCTGGCTTATTCTTTAATAGCACTTTTATGTATTAATTTAAATAAGGCATATTTTGAAAATTGCTAACAGTGTGGCCTTTTAACAATTGCAGTTGTGGTTAGTGGTATTAACAATAATTCATAAAATTTTTGTTGTTCTTAGAGATACACAGTTATTATTTGATATGTTTCATTACTTGTACATTTTATTAAGCATAAAGAATTTTTTGAAGAAGTTGCAATGAACAGATTTTCTAATGTGTTTTTTTTCTGTGGAATGATAGTATGTAAATAATTTTTTCTTTTAGTGTTGCGCTTAAAACCATTCCCGAAAACAGTACTGGAGTTCCTCATATATTGGAGCATCTTGCCCTCTGTGGATCTCAGAAATATCCATGCAGAGATCCTTTCATGAACATGTTAAATAGATCTTTGGCTACTTTCATGAATGCTTTCACAGGTTAGTAAAAAATTTATTAAAAATAGCTATAAATTCTTATATTTCTATCTTTGAAATTTTTTTATGTTGTCTTTCATTAGCCATAGGCCAAAGAAAAATAATATTTTTTGATTATCCACTCCTCCAAGTTGTTGTTTTAAATTCATGAAGGTTCACGAGAGTAATATGCAATAGTATAAAAATGTAGTTCTCTATCAAAGGTATACAATTGTCATAAGTTGAAAACATAAGATTTGAATGAGTGCTTTCTTAGAGCTTAAAAAAATTGATGAACATATCATGTCAGGCTATGACATGTTAGTAAAACCATAGGATGGATAACGGATGAAATATACTCGACTAATACAACATGAGTTAAGTCTCCTTGACAGATCATTTAGTCAGGTACTTGATGGCTTAGTAAATTATCCAGGATATGATGCTAGATTCCTTTTCCAATCTAGTCTTCTGCAGCAAGTTTCCATGCCTTGAAATACCAGAATCATTCGTAGCTGTTGGCCACATCAATAAGACACATCGGGAGGACACACAGTCTTCACCACCGTCGGAAGAACACGCTCACTAACATTGAAAGCTTTCAACTCCGAGATTATATACTTTTCTTCTTCTGCTCAGTGCAGCCGCAAGGGAGAAAATGTAAATTCCCAACACAGTAATGTTGCTAACTTCTTAACGATTTTGTGAATTGGTAGAAAAAGCATTTGCTTGGCAACTTTATCGTTCTTAGGTACTGCTGTGGTAATAAATAATAATAAAAAGAAGCACAGTATTAGAAACAAGAAATTTTTTAAGGAAAAAGGAAATCTGTATGGCTGATATTTACATTTTTTACAACTGCAGGATACTTTAAATATGCATTTGAGGGACGAACACTGTTTACACAAATGGTGGAATATAAACATATAAATCCACAGTACTCAAATATGTGTGTATTAAACACATACATGTGTTGTTTACTGACATATGTATATTAAAAAATACAGCAGTTCTACCAGACAATGAAATGGGGGATGAAAATAATCAGAAGGTATCATAGTTTCTGTGCAATTCATTTAAATAACTGTGACTTATGGATTTCAAAAGAGGGCATATCTCTGATAACAGAGGTCCTTGATTTTCATTACATTTTTTTTTGGGGGGGGAGTGCATTTCACGGGAAGAGGTATCCATTCTTTTGTTTTTCCTTTCACACTGAATTTTTGTATTATTGAAATAATTTGGAAAAGAAGAAGGAATTTTACCATTTTTATTGCTACTTCTTTATGAAATAATTTCCAAAAAACAATATCTCTTTGCTAAATTATGTTTTTACAAAGTTGGTATTTATTGTAAATTAATCAGTTGCACTTATTTCGGTTTTTTATAAAAAAGTTATTTTTAAGGAGTTGATCAATTTTTAAAGTTCTGTACACTGTATTTATAGGTTAAAACTCTATTTATTCTAATTTTCAAATATTTACTAAATTTCTTTGATTTTTAGACCCACCTTTCTATTCATATAAATTTTGTGCAAAAAATATGGTGCATTTTAAAAGTGCAGATTTTTCTGAATTACTAATTATTCCAAAATAATAAATTTTTCTAACTATTAATTTAAATAACTATACTCTTAAATTTAGGTTAAAATAACATGCTGAACAAATATTAATTTAGAAGTCAAACAAGAAATGTCAGCATTGTATTTGTAAATATAATGCTGATTTTTGTTATTTGACTTCTAAATTAGCTATACTCTTTGTTAAATAAACTAAAGTAAGTTATTTCAAAACTATTTTCTAAATATATAGCAGCATTTTTTTTTTTTGTGTATTGTAATTTATACCTAAAATCAAAATAATTTTATCTGTTAATAGTATTAAAATAAAAGCAACATCTGAGAATTGGAAAAAAAAAAGTGTTTAAAATTGTTGAGCTAATAAACAAAAACATGTCGTAATTAAAAAGTTTGTAAGTTACAAATATGGAAACGTAAAAAAGATTCAAGAAAATCAAATTGAAAAAGAAACACAGCTGTGTGAAATTTAAAATAGTGTTCCTAATTTAAAATTTTAAAAAATATTCAGAATAATGAGCAATAAATAAAATGAACATGCTATATAAATGTATCCTGTTTGAATTTAGTGCAAAGAATTCATCAAAATGTACCTGACTTTAACGGACATTTTATTTTCTGTAATTTTGAGCTTATCTTTTTCCTATCTTTTTAGGTAGTGATAGCACAATGTATGTATTCTCATCCCAGAATGGGAAAGATTTTCAAAATCTTCTTTCAGTGTATTTAGATGCTGTTTTTTTCCCATGCTTGAGAGAAAGAGACTTTAGGTAAGTTTTTGTTTTAAAGCTAACTGAATACTGAAGAGAAAAAAAAAAAAAAAAAAAAGTGTATGAGTAGTAGAAGTAAGTAGTGATGTTAGTTGTGTGTGTTGGCAATTTATGCATATGAACTAAAATATGTAATTGCATAGAAAGCAGTTACCATATTTCTTTTGCATATTTTTAACCTTTTTTATTATTTTTTATCTTCTGAAAATTGAGAGGGGAAAATTATATGAATAATTAAATTTCGAAGGATGTGACTACAGTAAAAACATAGCAAATGAAGTAGTCATGGATAAACTACAGGTAACTATCACAATATAATTTATTTAAAAGAAACCTACATTCCAAATAAAAATGCATAGTAATATTAACATTATAATATATATTATGATATCTTCATTTCTGCTTTCCTGTAATTTGAATTTAGTCCATTCATGGTGTTTCTGCTGTTCTTTAGGCCTCAAATTGTCCATTAATAATTAGAGAAGGTGAATATGATGCTGATTCTTTGAAATAGATTGAATGTCAGTTTGGATTTGTGTTGCTGTGATTGGTCAGTTCTTGTATTAGGTAGGTTGTCATAAAGGTAGTGATAAACAGTTAGAAGGAGAAGGTTCAAGGTTGGGTGATCTTGGTACTGTACTCTGAACTCTTTGCCCGGGTTCGTCTTTGTTAAACACATGAAAGCAATCAATGCATGGGCAAATCCATTTTAAGTTTAGGGGAACTTGTTCTGGGAATGCATTGAGATAGGGGAAATTAAGTAAATATTTTACACTAGACTAGACACTGGAATGCTAGTCCGTTATACTGTCCGTTAATGGGGGGGGGAATGCATGAGGGAATACAACATATTTCTACTTCTTTGATTCGTTTTTGCTGTCAACAGCACTTAATTACTATTCAAAATTTGATAAAAAAAAGTCTTACGGAAACAATCAATTTTTTAAAGACAACTGTTTGACTTTTATCTTGGGAATATTAATACTGTCAAAAGTCGTTAATCCGGACTCGTCGAGACTTCAGCGATTCTGTATTATTGATTTTTCCGGCTTATAGATCATCATTTTAAATCTGGTAAGATGGCATGCAGAAATTATAAAATTAAAAATATGAAATCATAATTTATGAAATAAAGAACAATTATGATCTAAAGGGTATCAAAATTTACAAAAAAAAAAAAGCTTAATATTTATTTGTTTACTTTATTAAACATTTCTTTCAATGTAAGTTGTTTAAGTTGCTTCGTTTTATGTGATACTTTCTCTTTAATTCTATAAACAGACATAATTTCTTCTTCAGTTACAGGGCCCACCAGCGGCCGAGCGGTAAAGTCGCTGAACACTGGTAGTTCAGTCCAAGGTTCGAATCCCATGAACGGACTGGCTGCATGGGCGTTTTCGTGGTTTTCCCCATGTGTAACATGTATACGACTCAGTTTCCCTTAGAAAGTCCTCCACGAAGGCATCCCTCCTCTTAGGCAGATAGCCCTTGAGGCTTTGCCATAAACACACACATATTTCTTCAGTTACAAAGTTCTGCTGTTGATGTCCTATAATTGCTCTGTTGAGAATACCGACTAATTTGTTAATCGCAATTTTTTCATTTTCGATAACCTCCGTGTCACTTTCTTCACTATCGGAAGCAAATTTTAATGACGAGGAATTTGATTTAAATCATATCAAAGACTGAGTACATCGAGATGAAGTACTACATTTAGTAAGGAATTATAAGCCAAATAAAATAAAAACATCTGCCCTGAAGATAAGGATAGTGCTGACAGATCAACTTTCAATTGATTGCACACCGCAGCGTTCCCCCATCCCTCCGATCCGCAGAGGAGCGTGAAATTGATAAACAGATTTCGGAATGGTTAGATAAACAAAGGATTATGCCTTTATCCATTTTTTGCAGCAATTCCACTTTTTGTTTAATGGACTTCGAAACATACTTTCGCTTTGTAGATCCTTTACATATTAGTAAATATATATCAGAAATTCTATTTGACATAATCGAAAGTTCAAACTTACTTTTATAAAATTGCTGTAACAGTCTGCAAAAAATAATAAGCTGGATCCAATTCGAAGATTAAGGAACAACGCAATCTGCAACATTAACTGAATTAGATAATTTTAGCTTAGCTTATACTGTCCGTTATACATTAAACGCGCATGCGTAAACGTATTATGTGCATGCGCACACGCAAATTCACAGCCGTGCGACGCATGCGCAGAAAGTTTGTAGCTTTGAGGTCCGGATTATAGATCATTCCGGATTATGGGTGTCCAAATTAACGACTTTTGACTGTACCATATTTGTTTGCATAGTCCTTTCCCATCTTTTCCTTGGTTTTTTAACATAATTCAGGAAACTATGTCGTACTCACATAATTTACAGCTTCCTTTATGAATTCTTAAAACAGATTCATTCTTTCATCTTCTGTAGATCCACTCAAAATTTATTTTTATACTCTCTTACAGTAATAATCTCTATATTTAAATTATATAGAACAAGATGTTTCATTTAGTCAAACATATGAGTTGTCGCATAACATGTGAAAGTAAAAATTGTAAAAAATAATTATTAACTGATTTTTTTCAAATATATTTACTTTTTTTTTTTTTTTTTTGGTAATATTCTAGTACCTATTCATATTAAGTTCTTCCTTTGAAGCCTTCTTTGGAAATGGTAAACTGATGCTGTTTTTTAAATTTCAAAAATAAGAAATATATACGTTCATTTACGTGTCATGTCAGTGAAATAAAGAAATTTGAATTCTTAATACCTTATTTAAAGAGATTTATGTTTAATTTAATTATCTAGGCCTTTTCTGTTTTTCTAGACAAGAAGGTTGGAGATTAGAACATGAAGACATTAATGATAAAAATTCTCCTATTATCTTTAAAGGTGTTGTCTTCAATGAAATGAAAGGAGTCTTTGTGAGTAAAAAAATCAGTTATTTATCTTTCACTTTAAAACATTTATTTGCATACAAAATTTTTTAACTCTGAAAAGAAATTGCATTGGTATATTTTTGCATTCTTAAAATTTAATCCTTCTCTGTTTTATTTAATTGTTGTTTCAAAATGTAATCCTTTTCTGTTTAAAAATATTTTAGTCTGTAATAGTTTTTATCAGATGTTTAAAAATGTATCTTGCTGTCTGTTCTAGTTTATACTTATGAAGCTTGAGAATGTTTCTGTTTAACAAATTGAAAGTAATAAGTTGAAATCTTAACTTTGGTGCTATGCTTTCAGCATTACTTATTTCATTTAACATGATACAGGAGAGTGAGAATGTGGTAATGTTTGGCAGCAAAGTATCTAAGTACATATGAATTTGGATCATTCAAGTCCAATAAAATTTTGAAAAATCTTTACATTAAAATTTTTAATTTCAAGATTATGTTATAAAGTAATATTCATGAATTCTTCATCGACAAAATAGGTTTTGCACTCATATTGCATGTTTTATAGCTGTGCTAAGCTGAAATTAACAGTATTTTAGCATTGATTGTATATAGTTTTGAAATATTTTTATGAAGTGAAAATAAAAAATTTGTAGTTATACATGTATGAAAGTATACTAATATGATGCCCATTTGCAGCATATAATTTCTCATTTTGATAAATTCACAGCTATTAAATATAAGGTGGAAGATACATTTCATGGTATCCCTTGGCGATTTGTTTCACGGCATTCTTGTTTACGTGCAATACCCTCCCAAGTAAAATAACATCCAAAGTATAATGCAATAAAACATAATTAATACATAAAAAATTATAATCTCGATAAACTGCACTTTAAGTAAAAAAAAAAAAAAAACTAGGGAGTAACATAAAAGTGGAAATGCATGTTACCTAATCTACACAATACAAAACGAAATATTGACTTACCTTATTTAGAAATTTCTGTGTCTTTGGTGTGTAGCACACAGAATTCAAAAACTATTTAAAATTATATAAATCGAATATATATACTGCCATCGCCACATAAATTCACAAAAAAATCTCCTCCATACTGCTGGACTGTCTGTGGCATTTCTTTTGAAATTTCCTTTTTATTACACCCCACATACCTTCCATGAGCTCCAGTTACCAAATCAATAAAAATCTCATTGCGTAATTTAACAGAGAGATGAATGAAGCCATTTAAATCGTCATTTACACACCAGTCAATCAATGTTTTCTTTTCCATTTGTTCCAAAGCATACAGAAACTTCAGGTTAAAAGTACCACCAGCAGGCATTTTATGGTATAAAGCACAAAATAAGCAAGGTATTTCCTAACCAACATCCAACACATAAATAAGCCCTGAAGTATTTTCCCAACAATCAAAATTATCACAATCAGACGTTACAACCAATCATGTCATAATAGGGTTTCCATATATTGGCGATAAATGAAACAACAACTTAGCAATAATCCAAGAGGTACCCTAAAATATAGACTACCCAATGTAAGTAAAATATAAATAAGAAATTAATTTTGAAAAAGCATTAGTGATATGAAGCAATATACATGCAGTAATATATATATCAAGAGTATTATGCGTGAGACTTACAATTCATATCATCTAAAAAAATTTCTGCAAAATCGGGGAGAAGAGAAAAATTTATATCCAAATAAAAATCTTTTTTTTTTAAATGTTTCTTAAAATTAACTGTTAAATTTAGACCTAAAATGTGCAGTGATATTCCATTATTTTTAATTGTTGATTTTAATCAGTGCTACTTCTGAGAGTCAGATTTTCATTTATTGCCTTCTTTTGTAAACAGGTTAAAATTTACAGTTTCATTGGGAATTTTGCTTTTAAATTATTCCAATTATGATAAGCACTCCAAAGCTAAAAGTATTTCATCTTTCTTATATGATTGTTTCATTTTTCTAAATTGAAATCTTAGGTATTTGAAAATAATATAATTAGAATATACTCACAGCAGTTATGTTTGAAAGCATTTTAAATTACATGCTTTGAAGCAACATTGTAGCTATATACCTAAGCAAGACTATGTTAGCAAGTTTCTCTAATACCTTCATCAGTAGCTATTATAAATGTGTCCATGGCACTTAATTGACAGCTGTTAGCAGACAGGGCATTTAGGCAACATGTCCATTTAGTCTGCATGTCTAGTTAGATAACGAAATCTTTCGCTGACAGTGCATTTTAGACAAAAACATTTTAAAATGTTTTAATGAAACTTATCTGTATTTAATTGTTAATTTTTCTATCAATTACAAAATTGCTGTAATTCTTCATAAGTTCAATTTTCAAATCATTTTTTCCTATATTTATGAAATTCATCATTAGATTCTTAAAGATATCATCTCTGATTTTATTTTTTTTCGAATTTTAACGCATGTAAATGTGGTTTGATACTGATAGGACAAATTGAAAGAGCATTGGAATTTCTCATCAGAGAACATGAGTCATATGGTTGAAAAGGAGAAGCTTTTTCACAATTAATCAGCATTTTAACACTTGATCATAATTTTTGACTTTGGATCTGCAAAGATTTCCATAAAGCTTCTTTAGTTAGTAAATTGGATTTTTTTTAAATCTTTCACTCTAGTAAAAATGTTTCTTCTTCAGTACGTTAATTTCCCTAATGCTTTTAAAATTCTAATTTCCATAAAGCTTCTTTAGTTAGTAAATTGGATTTTTTTTAAATCTTTCACTCTAGTAAAAATGTTTCTTCTTCAGTACGTTAATTTCCCTAATGCTTTTAAAATTCTAATTTCTTAGCATTTTTGTTTTTTAATTTGTAGCATTACTATTTTCCTAGAGGGATTATGCTACATTCATTTCACTTTGCTCTCCCATTGCTTTTCATATAAAATCATTTCAGTGCTTCCTCTGAAAAAATTTTCTTCCTCCCTCCTGAAATATAGGGACATATGTCTGGTGGCTCTTGAAATTGATTTCAAAATCCATGCCAACCTAAGGTTGCCTTCATCTAATTTTAAAATCAATACTCTATAATTATCTCACATTAAAAATAAAGACAAAAGTGTGGATCTTGTTGATAAACCTTCTTATAGTGTATTTTAGAAACAGCCTTTAATCAGATAATCCTAGAGAAGTTTGAGTGAAATACTGCCATGAATTGCATCTTTTTGTCTAAATTTAAACTGCATTGTTAGTTTAATGCTCTGTTGGCTAAGTAAGTGTCTGTGACCAGTTATGAACATGAAGAAAAACTTACGTTAAAAGATCTTGGTGAAAATATTAACTGTGCAAGGTGCAGGAAAAAAATCATGTAGTTTAAATTTCTACAGTTTTTCAAATTAACAAAATAGAATGATGTGTATTACATGAATGTGTAAAAAGAAAATGTCTAGGCTTTTGTATACAAAGAACAGAAATTGCTAGATTTTATTTTAAAAAGTTCTGTAATGGTAAAAAGTTAAAATGACATTTAAACAACAAAAAGCTTTTTGCATATTGTTTACACAATGTCAAATGGACTTAGAGGAATAAATTATATTATTTTTAATCAGATACAGGTTGAAGCAAGGCTGACATCTATGCATGTATGATAACGCATCTACACATATTAGGTACTGCCAGGCTTTGGCAACTGGTTAAGCTTCTGCTTTGGATGAAATTCAAGAAAGAATACTCCAGGGGAAGGTGGTCCAAGTGTCTCTCACCCTTTCTGCTACTCACTAATATCTTGAGATGATTTCATCTTAATGTGTATTCTGAGTGCCTCTTGCCACACAGACACTATATGCTTACAAATATCCATGCCTTCTCTGTGATTCGAATCCAGGCCCTCCAGTCTGGCAGTTAGCGACACCCTGTCTAGGAAGCTGTGATTTTAAACAGCTGGCCTTTTAGGTCTTCGGATATTATTTCATGTGACTTCTTCCTTTGAAGATGTGCAAGTGATCAAATGTTTGCCACTTATGCCCATGGGTCTAAGATAACTTAAAAAATGAATTTTTGCTGCTTTAGAAACAATTACCATTGAGGAGCTGGAACATGTTCAGTAGGAATTTTCTTATATTATTTAGATATCATATGTATAATTAAATGAAATCTGATTAAATGTGTGTAAATAAAACTCGGGCATTTTTTCTTTATCTTGGTGCATATTAACTTTATTATTACTATTGCAAAAATTTTAAAGAGGATGAGTGTCTCTGAATAACCATGTATTTTTTAGCATACAGCATCTGATATCTGTTTATCACCTTGTAAAAGTTCATGCACTTATTATCTACAGTATAGCGGGATGTTTTTATCCCGCTATACTGTAGATACTGTTTCATTAACTTATTGTATATATGTTTTAATTTCAGTCTGACCCAAATCAGTACTATGTCTCTAAGCTGCAAAACTCACTATTTCCTAGTAACACTTATTCTTATGTATCTGGAGGTGATCCGTTAGCTATTCCTTCCCTTACATGGAAAGAACTTAAGCAGTTTTATGCAAAGCATTATCATCCTAGCAATAGCAGGTGAGTAGAAATTATGATGTAGAATGCTTTTTAAATGCAATATCAGTTTTCAGAAGAAATAGTTCAGCATTTGCTTCAGTGTTATGTAATTAGTGATATTCTCTTTATATTTATTACATATAAATATCTGTTACTTTGATAATGATTGTTATGGTTATTGGCAATATCAGATACAAACCTAAATATTTATATTTCATCCATGTTGTTTTATGGCTGTAATGTATTGTTTTAGGACTTTATGTAGGTCATTATTTTTTTAAACAATCTGAAAACTTCAAATTACAGTCTTAATAGCCTAAGGAATTTAGTGTTACAAATTTTAAAAGTACTTTTTTTGGGGGAGGGGGTATATTAGAATCAAAATTTCATAGTCAAATTTCAGCTTAGCACCTGAAATAGTTTTAAACTAAAAGGTTACCATAATCCTATTAGTTGCATGGTTATCGTCCAATTTGCATATTTTTGTTCAATTTGCTTGCTTGCTAATGGTATATATCATGTATGATAAGACTTTTGATTCTTCAAGTGTTGAGCCTCATACTCATTTTGATTGTTTAGTAATAAATTAAAATATAATCACATTTAGTTGTTATTATGGGAAAAAACACATAAGAAAAAGCTTCTAAGAAAAGTTCTTAGTAGAGTATTAAGAAACTGGATGTATTGTAGTTGAGTTCATTATGTTACGGTTCGGAACCCTTGTTTTAAATTATACACAGAACCAAGTTAGGTAGTAAGGACTTAGTTATTCCTGTTACTATAACTACATTACCTGAAACATCCATCGTTGTATGTTATGTTCTTTGTAAAAATCTCATTTATACTGCAGTTGAGCAATGTATAAATAATTCTTATGGAATTATGCATTGCTTTGTAGCCATATGATTTTTTTAACTAAATGCAAATTATCAAATAATTCATACCAAATTAAGTATTTATTGAAATAGTTTTATTTGAAATTAATTTGAATATAAAAAATCTAAATTTGATTTAATATTTTCATTTACTATTCAAATTTTTAGTTAAAATAAATGCAGTTCATATATATATCAAAATATTTATAAATATAATTTTTAATATAAAATATCTCTTTGTTTTATTTTGTTATTATATTTTTGCAAATAAATGATGATGTTAAGATTAAATGCTTTTAAGTTCTTAGAATTTTTTTAATATATTTGTACCTTTTATTTCCTGTCTCATTTTTTTCTTTACCGTCTTATAAACATTTACACAACACAACATTTATTTTTCCACTGTGTAGGCTGTGGAAGGCATCATGGTTCTTAACATTGTTATTTATCATCTACATACATAGTCTTCATTCTGAAAAGAATGCTATGAACACATGAATCAAGTAAACATTAATCTTTATGCTATCTATGGTAAAGATTATCTATCACATTTTGATGACACATTTTTCAAAAAGTCAAAAGATGAATTAATTTGTATCTCTTATAAAAATTATATAAATTTCATTTGTTATTTTTATGTGAATTTCATTTATGTTTCATGCTTGGTAAGTGAAAGTAATAAAGAATTGCATGGATATTTGGTCTTGTATCCCACTGAGAAAGTTATTGTACACTAATATGCAATAACTTATCTTCTAACTTGTTATAGCTGTGTCCTTTTGTAAAGTACATAGTGACTTTTTTTTTTAATACTAGCTTCAATATGTTTTGCATTTGCTGTTTTCTTCATGTACCTCTGAGCTTTGAGAAATGAAACAGAAGCAGTTAATATTCAGTGGAATTGCTGAATATTGCCATAAAATCTGGACTGTTCTAATTCCCTTACATTAAAACTGTATATCACTAAAAACCCATATAGTATAAAAGTGACGTTGGAAAGTGCAGATAGACAATTTGGAAATTCATTTGAAGACAGTGGCGCACCAGCGGCCGAGCGGTAAAGTCGCTGAACACTGGTAGTTCAGTCCGAGGTTCAAATCCTGCGAAAGGGCTGGCTGCATGGGAGTTTTCGTGGTTTTTCCCATGTGTAACGTGCATCCGAGCCAGTTTCCCTTAGAAAGTTCTCCACAAAGGCATCCCTCCCCGTAGGCAGATAGCCTAGTGTGTTATTAAATAAACCAAACCAAACCATTTGAAGACAGTGGGATTGCACAACCAGTACAGTTTATAGAATATATAGTTTACAGAATATACAGTTTCTTTACTGTTGTTGCCAATCATTAATGTCAATCATACTGTTACAAAATGTCCAGTTGCAGTAAGATAACTTTCCCGCAAAGCAGGTTTAAGGTTACCAGAAAATGGCAAAGGAAGGCAGGGTTGCCAGATTTGGAATGAAATTGCCCTGCCCATTTGGCGACAAAATTTGTGATATGCCATAGACTGATGGAGAATCTTCTAGAATGAATTCTTACTGGTTTGGCCCAGAATGTTCTCAAACGCAGGCTGAAGCAAGGAGTAGCAGTCTATCGTGTGTCTCGTCAGAGTCTTTTAATTGATATCGAGTGTCTCGTAGTATTGCGAGTTGGTGCATCAAAAGTGTGCATCATTGAGGCTATCGAGTTCATTGTGAATCATAGCGTGGAGTGTCTCAAGAGTACATTGAGTTACGAGAGCAAGTGAACCGAATCTGGAGCTGTACTCTAGCGCTTTGCCGTAAAGCTGTCTGCACCTTTATAGCTTAATGGTTGTGTTGCTGATTGTTTCAGTATACTTGCCGTAGTTTTCCAATGACTGTAAACGTGTTTTTGGAGCTGTCCTGAGTAATACTTCCTAATAATTGTGTTTTCATTCTTCATCAAGTGTTGTCGTAAATCTCTCCAAATCCACAAACCTGTACAGAACACAACAGTACCTTACAGAAACAGGTTGATAAAACTGTGCAGAGTGAAACAGTTATCTTCTAGCCATTTGCATTACTAAAATAAGGAATTGAAATCTATATCCAGATTCTTGCCAGTGTTGCTTTGGCATTACCTGAACTTCCCAGTTGTAAATATGAGATACAAGTATGAAATATTTTAATGATTAAAGATTTTGAATTATAGAAGATGTGGCTTATAAATTCAACCATTTTTCTTTTCAGATTTATCACATATGGAAATTTGCCACTTGAATCTCATCTTGAAAACATCATAATTAATGTTTTGCAAAAATATGAGAAACTAAATGTTGAAAATGAAGTTCCTGATGAAAAAGTGTGGGATAAGCCTGTATGTCCTCGTGCTTTTTATTAAAATATATTAATAATCTTGTAATTTAAAATAAAAGTAGAACACAATTTAAATTAAAATATTTTGACTATTAAATATTCACTCTAAAGGTATGGAATTTGCAAGTAATGTTAAATAGCTAATTCATAAATTATTCCTTCTATTAAAAAATATTTATTGTTGCAAATGGTATTGAATGGACTTTTAGTGCATAACATTTACTTAACAGTAAATTAAAAAGCCAAGACAATATCAAAATTGTTTAGTATTTAATATGTAAAAAAAATTTTTAGTCTAATTTTATATTTTTTGAAGGAGGAATAATAAGCATCTAAAAGATATGAATTAAATTTCGGATTTTTTTGTTTTTTTCTTTATGTACTGCTGTTATTGTTATACTTTATATAAATTAAGGCAATGAATATCATCTCAATTTGTTTTACTTCAATTTTATTATTTACTTCACAATACCTGTTTTTTTACCTCTTATTTACTTTATTATTTCAATTTCTTATTTGCAAAAGTTTTAATTTATTGTCTTAAATAATGAATAATAAATAATAAAACTGTATATTGTGTTTCATTGTTTGTAAGAATTGGCTTGGATATGGTAAGGAACTAAATAATCTGGAAACACTTTATCATAATTATCTTATTTCTAAAATTCTATACTAGATTATACTAGATCATAATTATCCTAATCCTATAATTAAAAAAAATTGCTAAACTTTTTAATTTGTGATAATTTTAAAAGGGGATGTTATGATGTTTTGAGACAATTCAATTGTCATATTCGTTGATGAACCATTCCTAACAAAATTTCCAGTTATTGACATAGCTACAACTGTTTTTTCCCTTGATTGCAAATATGGATTTTGGAAGTTTAGCTGTTCACTCATTACCATTGACTAAGGTTTCTAACTTTTGCTCTTTCAAAGCGAATTTTAGCTTGATCCAATTTTTAAAGGATGCAAATTCAACATAATGAATAATATCAAGAAAAATCAGTGAATATCTGATACCTAACTGTACCAGAGAAACATGCAATGATTAGTATCAATCTTGAATCTGTGAATGTAGTTTTTGAGAAGTAGTAATAATTAATTTAATAGCTTTGAAAAATTCAGTAGTTTTGAAATATATAGTTATCTTCATAAATTTCCAAAGCTTATATAAGGACCATATCAGGGAAATAAGGAGGCTGGAGAAGAAGATTTGTCTTCAGCTATATTTTCCTGTTTTAACATAAAAGTCAGAAATAAACAATGATATATAAGAGCATCATGATGTTTGAGAAATTGAGATATATTTCTCCTCAAGTAGTAGTATTTTCTGAAGGTTCAGTATTGGCTTAGATATAATAAGTCATGGCAGCAGGATATTTTCTTCTTACTTCAAGCTGATTCAACTAATTTAATACATGCCCCTGCAGTTAAAAGTCTTTAATGTCTATTCATGGCAAAAGAAAAAAAAGGTTAGGCGAGATGATTAGAAATATCTTCAAATTTACTATGAAAATTTTATTTCCGTGTCCATAATGTTAATTCTTAATTTTCATTGTCATGGATTCGAGTAATCCAAAAGTTTCTGACAGATTGTACTTAAGCTGTGTTTTTGTGTTTCTCAGCTTCAGTTTATCAGCGATTTAAATAAATGATTTTACCAAATTAGATGACATTAGTGGTAGGTAGTTGATACAAAAGGCAGAATAGACATCATCTCTGGTTTATTGTTGACCATCTTTGAATCATGTAAACTTCTTATAACTGTGCATAAACCTGATTATCATAAACTTATTTAATCATTTCTGGGTGCTTAGATATTATTTTGTTGACCATGAAACCATTGCCAAGCAGCCTGGTTTAGGATCAGTTATAAATAAGCATGATGTAATAATACATATGAAGCCAATTGGTTCTTCATAAGCCACTTCTTGTTTTTGTGAGCAAGGATTTAAATTACCTATTGTTGCTGAGTTTTTTTGTGCATTTTGAAAACATGAATAAAATTTGAGACTTGCCTTCTACCAAACAGCAAGCAGTGGATTATATTTAAGGTTATTGCACCCTACCACAAAAAAAGTGTTTATTAATGGATATGATATGGTCAGCTGAATAAAGCCATCAAATCAGTGAAAGCTTAGAACAGCTAATTGCAGAAAATTTGTACTCATAATGTTCTAAACAGAACTTTTAGTAAAATCGGGGGGTCCAACAAAATAGTAGAAATTGAAGAAGGCTTTTTACAAAGTGCAAAAAAAAAACAAAGCAAGTTGAATACTGATTGTTTTTTAAGTAATTAATTATTGTTGTTTATTAATAAACAGGCTTCATTCAGAATTCCATAGGAACAATAGTGCAACTTTGGCAGGATCTTCACCTGGTTTGAAAATAGCCAACTTTCATGGTTAATAAAAGCCAGTAATCAATAAGGATAAAATTTTGCATTGAACTTAGGAAACAGTAATGGGTATTCACTTATTATTCCAAAAAATGGGATGATACGTGAATACCCATTTCTGTTTCCTAAGTTCAATACAAAATTTTATTTTTAATATAATGCTGGTGCATTCATCTGTCTTGAAATTTGTACTTATGAATCTTATGCTTTTAAACAAAATTGAAAAATGAACAACTAAACACAGAAGAAATGTAGGACCAGTGAGAGGGTTCCTTGCTAATAATAAGTCACTAATAATATTACCAACAATATTTTATGTGAAATTATGTAAATGTGCTTGGGAACTTACCATTCAATAAGGAATCTTTCTCTCGATCTTGAATTGTTTGATAGTTTAATATGCTGAAAGAAGTTTAATCAGACAATATTCCTTATCTTTCTTTTTTTGCTTCTTTGTACTGCTTATATAAAAAATTATAATTATTATTATATATATTTTGCTTTTCTTTCTACTGCATATATAAAAAAATTTTATTCTAAATTTTTAAACCATTTTTGTCCTTTCAGTTATTTTTCTTTCATTTCTGCATGGAAGCTAGACTATATTATTCAACTTTTAAGTAAAATAATGTATAGCTCTCTTTCAAGTTGGCTATTTTTAAAAGTTTTTTTCCCATTATTCATAAGCATGATCCTTTATATTGTTGCAGATTTTATTCAATTTTTTGTATTATTTATTCATTATAATTGTACAGTCAATTTCCAATTAACCAGGCCCTGTCTGAAAAACAAATGTTTATTTATTATAAAGTGATGGAAAATTTTTTGTTAACTGTTGTTATGCAAAATACAACAATATATAAGTTGTATGGGGTAGCTGCAATAATAGATAATTTCATGGTCATTTAATATTTAATTTCTTCATTTCTAATGAATTTTATTCATCCTCTATTTACAATTTGTTCCTTTTGTTTTAGACAGTGCTTTAATTTACTTAATGACATCAATTTATTCTCCATATTAAACTGCTTGAACATACAGGTAAATTGGTAAAGTACAGTAGTTTTCTGTTAATTATAATATGGAGTATTCTCCTCCTTTTTTTTTTTTTTTTTTTTTTTTTATTTATTTTTTTTTTAATTGCTGTCATCTTAACTGATTTTTGAGTTTGGTAAACATCATCCCCAGTATTACTTCAGTTATGCAGGAGTTGATTGTATGTGTATCATAATTTTATTTTTGGAATTATAAAATAATAAACATGTTTGTTGCTTTTGTAGAAGGAAATTGTTGTTCACAACAGGTTTGATCCTATGGCAGCTGTACCTGAGAAACAAACCCTGATTAGTAATAGTTATCTTCTTGAAAGGTTAGATTTTGTTAATCTTTATAATGAATTCATAATTTAATAGCAGCTTTTGCTGAAATATTTGAGATTATGCAATAAGTAAAGATTGCTTTTATATGAAATTACTGTATTTAATTCAGTTTAAACACATTACTTGTCTTAAGATATTGAAAGTGATCATTTTGTAGCATATTGGCTGTTATTTTTTACTATTAAACAATATGTATATCGACTGACAATATAAACAAGGTATTATGAAATATAATTCCAGTTCTCTAAGTATCATACATAATAATTGTTGGCTAACAAAATCATATTAGTTGAAAGGTGAAAAATGTAATTTATAGATGTATTATGAATTGAAATTTTAATTCATGAATTAAAGAGAACCAAATGGTTTTGTAATAATTTATTTACATTATTGTCATATAATTAGTCTCAAACATACAATTGTCTATTAGTTTTCAACTTTCAGTAAGCCCCTCTCCTTGTCTTTTCTTTTACAGTTTCAATTTTTGCTTAATCTCTCTTTTTTTCCCTTTTTATTTCTTTTTTCTCCTGCTGATTTCTTTCATTGTCAAACAGTATGACACTATGCCATATTTTATATTTTTTTGGATAACAAAATTTGTAAAGAAACTAAGCAACTATTATTTGACGATAATTAGCTTTATTTAAAAACATTGCTAGCCAGGTGTTAAGTCATCTTCTTCCATGAAGGTATGATTTTGTATTTTATTTTTTAATGAACTTAGCATTAAGAAATTAATTAAAAGTACCCTTCTTTTTTTGTTGATATTCTGTGTCTTTTATTGGTTATCTCAAAACTATCAACATCTTCCTATTTTAAATCTGTGTTTTAAGAAAATTAAACTTGTCTATTAGCTAATGTAAATGTGAAACCTTCCCATATTTCCATTTAATATTTGGTTTGATGATTGATCATAATAAATCATGCATCAAAACTCACCAAATACTTCACAGAATCTTTTGTGGGTTATTCTTTGTTTTTATGTGAGTCTTGGAGATTTGCCTAGTTTTTAAAACCGTTTGGTGCTTTTGACATTTCAGTAGAGAGGTGGTTTTTTTTTTTTTTTTTTTTCTTGTCATCGGCTAGCATCTGATGCCAAAATCCAGATGCATTTTGTTGAACAAAGTTTGAAACATATCAGTTCACACCCCGACTTACTGGATATGAATCTCCTTTTCTATTGTCATCCTATGAGCCTGAAACTTTTGTATCAGTTCTGCTATAGTAATCTAATAACTATCATTGGCATCCAGTAGATCCTCATCTTTCAATTCCTGAGATCTTACTTTTTTTTAAAATTTTCCAGCTGCCTTTCACCATGATTAAAGATCTATATTTGATGTTCACTCATGCATTCAAATATAGCATTATTTCACATTTAAGTGTCTATATATTATTTAACATGCTTTTATCACACTGTAGATAAAAGATTTCATACAAGTACACTACATTGTACTTGTATGAAAGCCAATGTATTGATTGCCTAATTTGCTTCCTTTGGATCTTCATTTTTTCTCCCTCTCTTGCTTAGAATGCAGCACACATATCACAACCTTTTACTAAAGAGTTCTCTGCAGCCATATGCTACTCGGTCAACTAATGAATATGAACAAAATGTTCATAAAGTCAAATTTTACCAATAAAAACTTTCAAAAACTTTTATGTGCACCCTATAAAAGAATGTCTGTAAGTTATAATATATGTATAAATAATTTTTTTAAGTTTTAATATTATATATTAAATTATAAGATAGATTTGAATATCGTGCATTTTATAAAGCAAAGTGTTGTATAGTTTTGACTTTTAAATAGCATGTAACTAACCTTAAATAAAACATACTATATTCTGATTTTTATTATGTATTATTTTTTCGTTATCATCAACATTAATTTTTTTTCTTTAAGTAAACTATGTTCTTAAGCGTTTTTTAATTAAATTTACATGCTAAAACGTTGTTTATTGCTGTAATTACTTTTGCACAAGTTGTTCAATTTAACTGTCTTGTAACATTTGCTAACAGTTTATCTAGTACTTCAGATTTCTTATAAATTTTCACGTTAGAATGCCAATTTAAAAAATCTGGAAATGGAAAACAGTTGATAGTTCTGAAAAGCTATTATTTCCATATGATTGTGGTGAGAGCCATTTGAAAAAATTAAATTTCTTTAGACTTCTTTTGACTAAACTTCTTTGGAAGGGGGGGAGAACTTAATATTTTATTGCAACATCATTTAATGAGAACAGTATCCTTTAGCATTCATATGTAATTCTTAATTTTCTATCAATTATTTTTGCATAAAACTTATTATATATTCAATTTTTGTATCTTAAACTATTTGTTTTTATACTATTTAAAAATTCAGTATTTGCAAATATTTTAATGTATGAGTTTTCTTATATTTTAATTACAGAGTGACCAACACACGTGAAAATTTTGCTCTAAGTATACTTGGAAATTTGCTCACTGATGGTCCTAATTCACCATTTTATCAAAGCTTATTGGAGTCTGGGATTGGGCCAGACTATAGCCCTGGTACTGGGTAAATGATAGTTTTTCTCACACTCTTAACTTAAATTAAAAAATATTTTAAAAAGGTTTAAATACTATAGATGTTTGTATTTAAGAAAGCAATACCATATATGATATGATGCAATAATATAAATATATTAAAATGTTACCGATAATAAAATTTTGAAGCCAAAATATTCTACAGTCTAAATCTTTATGGTTTCTGAAGTACAAGAGTAATAATACATGATTGTACTATAAGGTATTTTGATTTACTAAAATAGTTTATATAAATTGCTATCCCAGTTTTTTATTGCTAATATGAAGCTAATGAATTGCATGTACAGAGGCTGTTTGCTCATTTTTTAACTGCAACTAAATTTTTGGAAGTGTAAATTATCATCTGCTACTTGACAATTTTGTTTTCATGCGAAATATCACTTTTAAAGAAGCCATGGATGGGACAACTATATTTGCTCTTTCCAAAGAAAATTATTCATATTTAGTTAATCAAAAATGTTGTGAAAGCCATCATTTTCTATATCTAAAGTAGCGATGCATGATACTATCAATAAGAAAAAACAGAATGTCTTTTGGTTCAAAGAGATAAATTGTACAAATTGCATATTTGAAGGGAAAAACAGAATGTTTCGAATGTTGCAAAGTTAAGAACTTTAATGTTAAAAGAGAATCTGTGAAATCAAAGTAAAGTTGCATAATCATTAAAATGCTTAGTGTCAACTGTAAATAAAGGGATTAATACTGATTTCAATCTTAAAAGGAAAAAGAAATATAATGTGCATTGTCTTTCTCCCCAACATACAACCGAAAGCAGAACACACTGCAGAATTCTCTATGAGAAACAATTATTCAGACAAAAATGGGAAAATGTTGTCACAGTAATTGAATCTTGGGTATATTCAAATGACTACAATAGAAAGAGATCCATTTATTATCATCAAAAAGAAGGGAAAAAAATCTTAGACCATAATTTAAAGAATCTAAGGAAGTTTTTAAAAATGATTTATGGTTGTTGCTGATTTTTGATACAATGATATAAAAAATTTTTGATATAAAAATTAAACAAAGTGCAGAAAACTGTTAAGATCAAATCCATATATTAAAAAGAACATATTTTATACCCAATTTTCAAATATAAAATATTTTCTTTTTACCTACAGTGACATCAATCAATAGAACTCTATCAAGACAAAGCAAGCAGCCACACTTCAAATTCCACTGTTAATTTCCTGGAAAAAATGGAACAACAATCGAGTATCAAGGCCATAGCCTTTACTCATATTCCTACTAAATCTCCTGACGTATAACCTACGGATTTCTGTACTTTTGTGCTCTTAAAAAGTGAATTGTCCAAACGTCGACTTACAGTCCTCCTTAGACTCTGGAAAGCTGTTCAAGAGGAATGGATTAAAATACCTCTTTTGGTACTAAGAAAGGCTTTATTTTCTTGGAAATTACAGTGTAGAAAAATAATGAAGGATAAGAGGTATCAAATGGGACATTTAAAACAAAAAATATTTCTGTAAATACAATGAAAGTCATCTAAAAAATATGCGAATAGCCTCTATAGGTACTTTAATTTTTTAAAACTCATCATTATATACTTATCTGTTTTTTATATACACCCTAAAAATCCTTTTTAAAAATATTTTGCTGTATTTATAGTGCAAATTATACATAAAGATTTTCCTCCTCTTTTGTTTTATTGTGTAATTGATCTGAAGATATCTACTATTGACACTTAATTTTCAAATTTTGTTGCTTCAACATGTAGCTCTATGGAAAATTAAGTAGCATGCTTTACGATCAGCAAGAGGTGTAACTAAGATGAATATTGTCAACCAGTGTAAGGCAAAGTGAAAACATTTCAAAATAAATAAAATAATAGAAACAGTAACTTATTGTGGTTTTTAGTTAAATAAAAAAGTGCAATATTAAAAATATTTGTGCTATAAATCCTCCCTTTGTGTTCTTTGATTTGAAACTACAAAAATATCCTATATCCGTTGTCCATGTAAGAATATAATTTGAAATTAAATATCCTTCTATTATTAATTAGCTAATATTAATTATATATTAGTACTAAAACAGTTATCTTCATTTTAATAATTATTAACTTCCCATTCTTTAATAATAAAATTATATACTTATTATCATATAGGGAATAATTATAAAATTTCATGTATGTGTATACATTTAAATCTAAATGAGTGCATTTTTATTCTAGCCAGTACCCTAACTGAAAGCATGAATTCAACTTTAAATAATTCCTTAGTATATTGTGTGTAATGATGTTTCATTATTTAGTATGTTTTCTGTTTTAATACCCAAATAGTTATGATGGATCTCTGAAGCAGAGTATATTTTCTGTTGGCTTGAGAGAAATTGCTGAGAAAGATATTGGATTAGTAAAGGAAGTGATTGAATCAACATTTGATAATGTTATAAAGTAAGTATTTTTACTTAGTTCAAATGTTCTAGGTAAAAATGAAACATTGCATCAGTAGTATGTGTGTCTTCTTTATAAAATCCGAAGTGGTTTTTTTTTTTTTTTTTTTTTTTTTTTTTTTTAGTTTTGGAAAGAAGTTCTGCATTTATGATATCTAATACGAAATCTTATTGCTTTTAAATTGAAAGTAAAGAATACACTTGAAGAATATGATTAAATTTTATAGGAATTGGAATTTCTGTTCTTAAATGCCTGGTACATTGTTAAATTTTTAAAAAAGGATACATTTTGATATTGGCTACCCTGATTAGTATAGTGGTTAGTGCTTCTGGGTCACTGGACTTGGGTTAAAATTCTGGAGAAGGTATGGATATTTGTAAGTGTATTGTATGTGTGCAGCATGGGGCACTCAAAATACAAAGGAAACCGAAATTTCTCAGAAGTGGTTTGGTGGTAGGAAAGAGGTTGGGAGATTTTTGGACTGTCCCCAGGGATGCTGTTCAAAAAAATTGAGGCCGAGCTGGACAAAGTTTTGTCAGCTATGTGATACCCAAAACTCATACCAACAACAGTCGCAGTCTTGTGCTTCTTGTCATGATAAAATTTGTGGACTTATTCTAATTTGGTCGGGCAAGTGAGATAAGCCACAGCGATACTCAATTGATTACTCATATTCATCATAATAATATTAATACTGTTGATATTTGTCCTGATAATCACTAGCTACAGCTACTATTCCATTAAAACAACTGGTACAGAAAATCCTGGATTGACGAGAATATTTAAAATCTGTTTTTGCTACTGTAACCTCTCATTATAACATCTTTTTTCTCTGTCATTTATGTTGATGTGATTTTAATATTTGATAGGTAATTCTTTATGCATGTAATGATCATAAAAGTAAATTTTATTTCTGTCCTTTTGACTTTTGAACATTTGTAAGTTTTTGTGTTTAATATAAGTAATTCTTTTTAAGTTTATGCAATAAAACAAAAAATTGTACAAAGTTGTAAAGGCCATTAGAATTGATTATGTCATATTATTGGACATTAGTAAGTCATAATTGTTACGCTTAAAATAAAAATTGTTTTACTATTTCTATCTTTTAGCTGAAGATTTTAAACTTTTTTTTATTTTCTGAATTTGTTACAAATGGAAAGAGAAAGAAGAAAATAGCTCCTGATTTATTTAAATCTTAATGTCTTAAATTCCATAGCCCCTTTATTTATTTTAAGACTTGCTGGGAGTCTTAAAGTATCAGTCTGAGAAGATTTTGTGAGAATGCATATTTAGCCAAATTTTTAAAAGCTAATGTACCACAAAAATCATTTGACTACTTAGTATAGATTTATTTCTATGAATAAAGTTTTGTGTTATGTTTGATTTTTTTTTTTTTTTTTTTAATTTTTAGTCATTTGTAGTTTAACATTTATCAGATGCATCAGACTGAAAAAGAATTTAATTTTTATAATGGCTTCAAAAGAATATTTTAAAAGAGGATATATTAATTGTACATTAACATTCTTTCCTTAAACTTTTAAAAAATATTAGGAAAGCTAATAAAAATCGAATCTATTAAAGCAGTCATTTAGAAGCTAAACTTATATTTGTAATTATTTAAAAATTAATCTATACATAAATTCACAATATAAACATTAAATTATTGATAAAGAAACTGCCTGCTATTGATAGCAGGTATTCTGCTGAGATTTTGTTTTCTTATATTTTAGTTTACATCATCTATTTGTATATTTTAGTTTACATCATCTATTTGAGTTAAAATGAATAACTTTTATTTAAGATGTTGCTTGTTTTTATTATTATTAGGAATATCAACTTGATTTTAATGTGATCCAGTATATATAATTTTGATTAACCTCTTTGAGTGGATTTTTGAATTTGCTCACTAAAAATCTGTGATTAGACAGTATCTCTCACGAAATTTGGTTAATTACTTATTTTTATCTTTTGCTTTCATAATATTTCAAGATCATTAAAGAAAATAGGATAACACAGTATTTTAAATAATAAATATGCATCAAGTGACAACAAACACCATGACCCACTAAAAATATCATGTTTCTCAGAAGGTTAAAATTAGAAATTAATATGTCTTTGATTTTTTGTATGTTTTTTGTTATAGAAGTAAAAAATCACTGGTCTATTTTAAAATTCAGTATTTATTTATGAATGACAACTAAAATATTTTTACTGTGTTGTAAACAAGGTGTATCATTGTACCTGTAATGTATACTTTCAGAAATGGCTTTCCTGAAGAGAGAATAAAAAGTGTATTACATAATGTTGAACTATCTACGAAACATCGCACATCAAATTTTGGCATACATTGTGCTATGGTGAGTGATTATATTTTATTCCAGTTTATTTTTTTATCTATTATAAAATGCATATATTTATTTGTTTAATACAGTCAAAAGTCTTTAATCCGGAATGATCTATAATTCGAACCTCAAATCTACAAACTTTCTGCGCATGCATCAACACATAATGCGTTAACGCATGTGCATAATACCTTTACGCGTGCACATATGTGTCTACGAATGCGAACGGTATATGCTAAGCTAAAATTATCTAATTATCTATTTCGGCTAATGTTGCAGATTGCGTTGTCCCTTAATCTTCTAATTGGATCCGGCTTATTATTTTTTGCAGACTGTTAGAGCAATTTTATAAAAGTAAGCTTGAACTTTCGATTATGTCAAAAAGAATTTCTGATTCTGGAGCTACCAAAGGATCTACAAAGTGAAAGCATGTTCCGATGTCCATCGAACAAAAATGGAATTGCTGCAAAAAATAGATAAAGGCATATCCTTTGATTCTCTAATCATTCCGAAATATGTTTATCAATTTCACGCTGCTCTGGGGGGGATGGAAACGACGACCGCAATGAACTAGAAGTTGATCTGTCAGCACTATCCTTATCTTCAGGGCAGATGTTTTTATTTTATTCAGCCTATAATTCCTTACTAAATGTAGTATTTCATCACGATGTACTTCGTCTTTGATATGATTTAATCAAATTTCTCGCCATTATAAATATCACGAATACGCATCAAATAGTGTTCTAGTTGCAATTTTCTAATTTCGACTATGCGTAATGTATGCTTTACGCATGCGCGCGTTGAAAGAAATGTTTAATAAAGTAAACAAATAAATGTAAAGCTTTTTTTTTGTAAATTTTGTTACCCTTTAGATCATAATTGCTCTTTATTTCATAAATTACGGTTTCATATTTTTAATTTATAATTTCTGTATGCCATCTTACCAAACTGATGATCTATAATCCGGAAAAATCGATAATCCAGAATCTGTGAAGTCCCAACGAGTCCGGATTAAAGACTTTTGACTGCATTGTTTTTCTTAAATGTTGTTGTTATGAGATGAAGAGTATTATGATGCACATATTCCCAAAAGAAATCACCTGGAAATTTTTATAAATGTTGTAATACTTCATATATATATTGAAAATATATATATATCGTTGAATGTGCTACAAAATCATTACCAATTTTGAGTATGTTTTGGAGGGGAGGAAGAGGAAGTAATTTTTTTTTAGCTGAAAAAGCGGTTAGATGGGGCAGAATGTCCTTATCGTGTATTTTTAGAGGGCCACATCAATTGTTTTTCTATGCGCTATATTTAATTCCACAACACTGATCACAGTTTGATAGCACTTGATGATGAAATCTCCAGTAAGCACACAAAAATAAAACAAATATTTTCTGCACTTGCAATATATAACGTTTGGATTTGTGTATATATAATTTATTGAATACTTTAAGAAAGATTATTAAAAAAATTGTCTTTAGCACATTAGACATTTGAGTTTATTAACACATTCATCATGGCAGTGGTACACCTTCGTCCTCCATGTGCTGAGAGTCCCCCTGTAGTCCTAAATTCCTTTTAATTTTTTTTATTTTACTCTAAAAAATAATAATCAGTTGTAATCAGTAAGAATATCTATAATTATATCAAAACTTATTTTTGTATATGGACATAAAATAATAATAATCGTTAATTTTGCATAAAGTTAGAATTAGTCTAAACTATGACATTTTTCAAAGCAAGGCACTACACATAATACATGCTTTGATGTGCATGGTTTGCATAGATGTTATGTTTCTCATTGAATTTAGTGGGAATACACATGGCATGCTTCCATGTTGGTTGAGCTTTAATTGATGTGGGGGATATTGTGTCATAATATTGGTCTTCCATTTGCAGCATATCTGAAGGCTTATGGTGCATGAAATAATTTCTAACAAAATGATGTACACCTGCATTCACTAGAATCACTTCTGAATTTGCCTTCTGCTGCTTTTAATGTACAAAACATAAGAGTTTAAAAACTATCATGTCCTAATGTTGAAGCACAATTTTTCTGTGTCGTTTTGATGATTTCTGCAACATTGAGTAATAGAAAAGTAGCTAACCAATTCTATCAATCCTGCGTATGTGTTTGTTGTAATCTAGACCAGAGTCTGGTTTGGTGACAGTTTCCACTTTTCAATTCTTATCACCTGAGATCTTCATTTTACCAGAATGTTCAGTTTAAGTATAAGGACATCTCATTTGTCTTTCTATTTCATTGTAACCATATGATGCTGTCTGTTGTTTCACCTTGTTTTAGCTTTTTGTTTACATCTTCTTTAGGGAGGTGTTTTTTTGTTTTTGTTTTTGTTTTGTTTCCAGTATTTCACATAACATTGTCTTGTTTTCAAGGAGCTTATTTGCCATAGGAATACTAGTGTAGTAACTCTGTGTAAGGCATGTGTCTTTTGATTAGAATTTTGTCCATCAAAGCCATTACAGAAATACAAATCCTTGGCAAACATGAAATGGACTTGTGGAACATTATTTTGCATGCACATTTTCTTAATTGTTGCCATTTAATTTGTCAAATACAAGAATTTTGATTATATGCCGCACTCCGCAGAGCGTCAGCAGCATTGAGTTAGCCCTTTTTAATGACTGGTTTGAAAATTCATTCATTAAAGAAGTCATATATTACATACAACAGCAAAACATGAGCTTTAAAAAGTTATCTGAATTCTTTAGAATGCTCTAGTATGGTTACTTACTGTGCTTAAGCCCTCACAACATTGCATCCAAATGTAGAGGTTTTATTCCTTTCACCAAAGTCCACTTCTTTAATCCAACAAATAGATCAAGGAATCATAAAAGCATTTATAGCCTGTTATATACAGGGGTTGTCTACCTTTTATCACCCATGCACCTCTCCCCCCCCTCTGCTAGAAATTCATGCCTTCCCTTCCAAAACTTGAAGCATACTATTATTTAGATAATTTTTTAATGTATTTTATTAATTAAATTGCAGAAAGTATGGAAAATGTTGATAAATACCCAAACTTGAATAAAAGTAGCTTTTTTTTTGTTGTTGTTATGTATTCACAAACTAAAACTAAATACTGAGCAGTTAAATAAAAGGTTGACTATATTCCCCCCCCCCCTTCCTGAAGCTATGAAATTCCTCTCCAGAGAGGAATTCCCCCATGACTGAGAACCCCTCACACTAAATAAAGGAAAGCAAGACGCACTAATGGTGTTTTGATAGCATTTCAACATAAGACACCATTAAAATGATTATACTTGCATGTGAATTCATGAACAGTGAATGCTTGCTGGCCCAAAGTTGTCAACAATTTTAAAAGATTTTCATCAGCAGAAAATAAAGCTTGGGAAATCATGCAAATTGCAAAAGCAACAGATGGCAAAAGATTTTCAGATATGGGAGAAGGAGAGATTAAAGCTTTAGTTAGAGATTGACAATCATGAAATGACAACTGAAGAACTGGATGATCTTATAACAAGAGCTAACTAAGAAAGCAGCAATAGTGAAGACGATGAAGAGCCTTTAACATATAACATAGCAAGTTAAATGACCTGCTAAAAAAAGCATAGAAACTGTCTGATTTTGTAATGGAATTTTATCCAAATGAAGAAAGAAGGAATTACTTTATGAGAGGTATTGAAAAGCTTTGTGCTGCTTGTTGTGAAATGTTTAGTGAGTTGCATCAGATATTATCCCAAGCAAAAATCACCTAGCTATTTAAGAAAATAATTCTATCGTGTATCTACGTATTAAGCAGCAATAGAAATTCCTTTAAATTGCATTTGTTTCATTTTCCCCTTTTAATTGCAATAATATTCAATTATCTATACTTTCTTAATTTGAATTATACCAGTTCATTTTCTTCATAGAAAGTTAACTTTGTGGAATGCAGTTTTGACATAATCTCCATGTTTGGAAAGGATTTACTATACTTAAACTTTCTGCATCACCTAATCCAAACATAGGATCCATCATACCACAATACACAAGTACAAATGCATTCTATATGTAACCACTTGGATCACAAAGCATGTAAAATTTTACACTGCACTTGTGCTGTTTGTCCAGAATATAGTAATGAAAAAGAAGACATCCTTGCCACAAAATTATCATCTCATCTACTGAAAATTCTTTACTTTGTTTATAAATATTTTTAAAATTATCCAGGAGAAAGTACAAATCTTTTACAACTTGTACATCCTATAACCATTGGTTTATTGATCATTGCTGAAGTGCCAAAACCTTAATAATAGTTTGAATCAGTCTTCTGCCATTGTGTGTTTCTAATATTGAATTACTTGACCAGTAGTCTTCAGGATGAAATTTCTTGATAAATTTCTGCTGCAAAAATAAGTCCCAATATTTTTTCAGTATCTACAGCTTCAGTGGGTTTCCAAAAACATATGCAGCTTTTTGGTTTGGCTGTTGATTCATGTATACATTGCTCTGCATACTTGTTGGTTTCTGACACAATAATTTGCATAATTTCTTTAGTGACAAATGAATGAAAAATTGTTATGGGTCTGCACATCTAGGATGCATTATGCCACTAATGAAAAATATCATTAGTCAGCATGTAATTCCTATCAGTTTTACGCCTTTCATAATATAATGTTAAAGCCACATGAGAATAATCGGTTTTATTACTTTCTGAATTTTTTTTATTACTTTGTTATTCAAGCCTGAAGCACACAGAAGTGAATTCATATATGCTCTCATCTCCTTCTGCACTTTCTTCAGTTCAGTGTCATGACTTTTATTTTTGGTGATTGAATCGGAAACATGATCGCTAATTTCACAACTGCTTTTCTGATGAGTCGATGTCATCAGCAAACTCTCTGTCAAATAATATTGTCTCATCAATCAAAGCTTTCTGGTTATCATTTTTTTTAAAAAAAAGTTAAATATTTTTTCAGTATCTACAGCTTCAGTGGGTTTCCAAAAACATATGCAGCTTTTTGGTTTGGCTGTTGATTCATGTATACATTGCTCTGCATACTTGTTGGTTTCTGATACAATAATTTGCATAATTTCTTTAGTGACAAATGAATGAAAAAATTTTATGGGTCTGCACATCTAGGATGCATTATGCCACTAATGAAAAATATCATTAGTCGACATGTAATTCCTATCAGTTTTACGCCTTTCATAATATAATGTTAAAGCCACATGAGAATAATCGGTTTTACTACTTTCTGAATTTTTTTTATTACTTTGTTATTCAAGCCTGAAGCACACAGAAGTGAATTCATATATGCTCTCATCTCCTTCTGCACTTTCTTCAGTTCAGTGTCATGACTTTCATCTTTGGTGATTGAATCGGAAACATGATCGCTAATTTCACAACTGCTTTTCTGATGAGTCGATGTCATCAGCAAACTCTCTGTCAAATAATATTGTCTCATCAATCAAAGAAAGCTTTCTGTTTATCATTTTTTTTAAAAAAAGTTAAATATTTTTCAGTATCTACAGCTTCAGTGGGTTTCCAAAAACATATGCAGCTTTTTGGTTTGGCTGTTGATTCATGTATACTTTGCTCTGCATACTTGTTGGTTTCTGATACAATAATTTGCATAATTTCTTTAGTGACAAATGAATGAAAAAATGTTCTGGATCTGCACATCTAGGATGCATTATGCCACTAATGAAAAATATCATTTGTCGACATGTAATTCCTATCAGTTTTACGCCTTTCATAATATAATGTTAAAGCCACATGAGAATAATCAGTTTTACTACTTTCTGAATTTTTTTTATTACTTTGTTATTCAAGCCTGAAGCACACAGAAGTGAATTCATATATGCTCTCATCTCCTTCTGCACTTTCTTCAGTTCAGTGTCATGACTTTCATCTTTGGTGATTGAATCGGAAACATGATCGCTAATTTCACAACTGCTTTTCTGATGAGTCGATGTCATCAGCAAACTCTCTGTCAAATAATTTTGTCTCATCAATCAAAGAAAGCTTTCTGTTTATCATTTTTGTTTTAAAAAAAGTTAAAAATTTGTATTATTTGTAAAAAAGCCAATTGCACAAGTACGAAAATTTGACCAAAGCTGTAAAATTTATGCTATTGATGCAATCTTGTAGAAATTCTATGAAAACAAAATAATACAAATATAAACTTTACAAAATATAAACTGAGATGCACTGAAAAGTTAATAAATAAGTCACTGAATGTGCTGCGTTAATAGAGAAAAACCTTGTTTATAGGAGGAGGTATCTCATCAGCACTCAGCGATTATTCTTGGAAGATGATATTTCATTTGTAGCAATGAAAGAGTTAAATATGGTGATGTAGAATAATGTTGATAATTGTACTAGAGTTAAAAGTAACTAACCACTGCAGTTTTTTTTAAACTAAAAGTATGTGATATTTGAATATTTTGATATATATATATCTATATATATATATAGTTATATCAATATATATATATATATATATATATATATGAATAACTTTGGGCATTCATCTATACTTTTAGTTCTATGATGAGAAGTAATATATTTTATCTGTGTACTTTAAGGTGAATTAATATTATCTAGTACCTGCCTTGATTTTGTTTCATTTCTGTATGTATGCATTTTGATCAACACCCCCCACCCCCCAAAAAGAAGAAATATCTGAAAACTTTCAAATTTTATATTACGTCCAAAGGGGCTTTTTTTCATATATACACATTCAAGAGCATTTCAGCAGACAATCCTTTGGGCTAAAGATGTTTAAAAACAGCATATCTTTAGAATTTCCAATAGACAATCTTGCACACTGGAGATAAAAATACTTTTCTCCCCATACTGTGTTGCCATTGCTCATTTTGAAATCATTGAGTTTGCTAATCAAAAGTCATTAAAGTTTTACAAAATAGGAGATAGACAATAAAACAAATTCTAAATTCAGGCTTCCAGGTGCGTGTATTCGGGTGGAAAATTATGTTTTTAAATTTAATGGCTCTAGGTAACATTGTTTTTTTGCAATGCGAGAAACTTACATATATTCATGCAGATTCTTCATTATTTAATTTCTTTAAATATAATACAGGGTGGTAATATTTGATAGCAGCAATTTGGAAAGTGATGCAACGCTTTTAGTGATACAATTCAAAATGCCGTTTCGAGACTAATGACCCTTCTGTGCTGATGCCCTTTTGGATTAAAAAGAAATTCCATAAAATTAACAACTGTGTTAGTTTCATTTGAGAGAGTAAACAGAAAGTGAAAAGTTTATTACTACAAGATTCCATTAATTCTTCAAATGGATATTCACTTCCTTAATGCTGAACATTCAGTTGAATTTGGCAGGTTGCTCATGAAAGCTGCAGAGGACTTAGTTATTCATCTAACCTAGTCTGTAAATTCATTTTTTTTACTAAAGTTTTTTTTATTAATATATACTTGAGGAATATATTACTTACCAAACATATATTTCTGGTATATTCCCTGGCTTTCAAACTTTGTTTAGCCATAATGAATTGAGTAATGTTGCATGGGATCATGAGCATAACACACGATGTAAAAACCTATGCTTCTGATGATTAAATGTTCATTAGAGGCTTCTGGTGAATGCAATTTAAAAGTATTATTTTTTAAATGTTGTTGTTTTGATAAATACATTGCAAGCCAATCATTTCATCAAAAGATAAAGTAATTTTTTTAATGTTTAAGAGAAAGGAAGTTGCAACCTTTTTTTATTATCCATTTAATCCTTTGGATATAATACCAATTTCTGTAATAATAGGTAAAGGAATTTTTAAGGTTTTATTTATATCCAGTTCTTATTCTATTCTTTATATAACATTTGAAAAATTATGCCATAAATTTTTGAAATCTTATGTTTATTTAATATATTAATTTTTCTTTACCCTATGAAAACACTAACAACTGTTATTTTGTAAATAATAGGCTGTTGATTCGATGTGGAATCACAAAGGTAATCCTGTAGTTGCTTTTAAGGTCAATGATCATGTGAATTGGTTTCTTAAGCAACTGGAAGAAAATCCTCTTTTTCTACAAGATAAAGTTGTGCAATATTTTAAAGTAAGTATTTGTTAAGAAGAGTTGAATTGAATTAAATGCTATGGGAAATATAACGTATGAAAATAAGTTGAATCATACTTGAATATGTACTTTCTGTATACATATGTGTGTATGTTTGTGTAAGATAAAAATATTTAAATCAAAATTATAAATTAGCAATTGTTCCTTAATTCATCCTCTCTATTCTAAAAATCGAAAAATCATAATAACTTTTCTGGACTGCATCATTTCTAGATCAATCCATCTTGTAAGGCTTGCATTATGCTGATGACATAGCCAATTCAGAATCTGAAATAAAAATTTCAGGAACTGAAGCTTTACTAACCTAAACCAAAACCTTCGATTGGTAACTCTCCATATTGGACAATTGTACACCTTTGACTTTGGGTCTCTTGCAGTCAAGATGGTGCTTCACTCCCATTGCTTTGTTATGCTGTTAACTGTGTCATTATCTAAAATGTGGTACTCTGTGTAAAATTGTGGCATATGTATTGTACCCATGATGTGTGATGAAAAATATATTTTCAATAATTAGTTCATGTTCAGCAACAAAAATTGCATTCAATTCGGCCATGTCTGTCTGCAGATCTCTTCTTCGAGTGTCACCTTTCTAAATGCACAGTAAAGTTTCTTTAAGTTATAATGCAGAGAACCATCATCAGTCCATTGCAACTTACTGCAAGTCATCATATTACATACATAATGCATGTAATCTAAGTTTTGACCTAAATTACATTCCTAGTTAATATAAGTGTGGTTTAGAAATCGCTTTTACTTAGGTTATAGTATTATAGAAGAGCAGAAATTGAACTCACATTTTGATTACATTTATACCACATGAAGTAATTATTGAACAAGTTTGATTTACATATCTTTTTTAATTTGATCTATTTTAGTGTTTTTTTAATCTAAACTATTTATTTGCCTTGTGTTATTTCAGTACAATTTGGACTGTGGATTTAATTTTTCACCAGCCTTTATATGATATAAATCAGTATCAGAATTATCAGATTATGTTAACATTAGAATAAACACTAGAAAAAAATAGTTGTAAAATAAACATATTAACATTAAAACTGGTGTTAAAAAAGCTAAACCAATTTTGAAAAGGAGGAGTCCTATTATTATCTTTAATAAACAGTAAGTCCTATTAATGAATTTCTTTCTTTTTATTCTCAGTTTTTAGAAGTTATGACATCAAAATAATTCAGATATACACTGAAGAGCCAAAACATTATAACCACCTACTCAATAATGTGTTGCACGAACTTTGGCCTGCAAACAGTTGCAACTCGCCTTGACATGGATGCCACAAGTTTTTGGGTAGGTAACTGGAGACAGTTTATACCGATTAACTAAGCAGCAGTCATGCAAATTCAAGATATTCCAACTTGGTGGCATTTGAGCTGTAAGCTGCCACACCATGACATTCCAAATGTGCTCTATTGGAGCAAGATCCATTAAGTGTTCTGACTTTAAATGAAATTCATCCTTATGCTCCTCGAACCACTTCAACAAAATTTGAGCCTGTGGCATGGGACGTTGTCCTGCTGGAAGATTCTATTTGCAGTTGGGAAAACTGACATCATGTAAGCATGCAACTGCTCTGCAATTATGTTCAAATAATCTGCAGCTCACAACTAAGGCTCCCATAGTCACCTATGAAAAAATCCCCCAAATCATAATACTACCGCCACCACCAGCCTGTGTATCATCTGCTCTATGGGGGAGGGCAACTGTTTGCCTCGAAGGTGGCATGCCCTGACACAACCACCGATGTGGTGAATGAGAAATTGTGATTAATCCTACCAGGCAACTGTCTTCCACTTATTTATAATCTAGTCTCGATGTTCCCAGGCCCCTGTAGGTGTAGTTGACAATGATGCTTGGTCAACAGAGGCACACAAATGGGACGTCTGTTGTGCAGTCTGATATCCAACAGTGTCTGCTGAACTGTATGTTCTGAAACACTTGCACTTAGACCTGCATTGTATTGGACTGTCAGCTGAGGCTTTGTCTAGTGCTAATTTTCTTGTACCAAGCAGGATAGTCTCAGACATCTTTTTTTTTTCTTTGATGATGTGTGAACATCCAATACCTTGGTGTCTACTGCTGATTTCACTGTCATTTATCCACTTTGCATAAATACTAATAGATTGTGAACAGCCTACCAGTCGTGCAGTTTTGGAGATATTTGTTCTGAGTTTTCGGGCAATTACAATCTGCCCTTTATCAACTTCGCTTAAATCAGCACGCTTTCCCATCACTCACAGAAGTGATTCCTTACCAATACCAATAATGAACGACGTTACCAGCTCAGCTGAAATAATGCCGTGAGAGCAGCAATTGAGATTGTAATCTACGTTAAGGGTATTGTGTCCGTGGGACAGTGACGAGAGTCTGGGGTGATTCCTTACCTTCTTCAGCAGCAATTAAATACCATTCCTACTTAATCATGTGACCTCCATATCGTCCAGACACGTTCATTGAAAAATGTGGGGATGGTTGTAATGATTTGGCTCATCAGTGTATTTAAGTTTTAATGTATCAGTGAATAGATGAAATTTCATAATTTTGTTATTTTGTTTTGCAGAACAATAATCATAAACTCACTCTTATAATGTCACCTGTTGATAATTTTGAGGCTGAGCAACAAGCAAAAGAAAAGCAATTATTAGAATCAACTATAGCAAATTTAAGTGATGATGAAAAGGTCAAGATATATAATGATGGTAATGTTCTTTCCACAATATATACTTAATAAGTAAATTGAAAACTTTGATGCATATTCAGTACTTCCTAAAATTCAAAATTTGAATGCAAAAAGAAATCTTAGTTCTTGAATGTAATTTATTCCTGAAGGTTGTTTGGCATCCAAAATGTTCATAAACAAAAAATATTTTCCCCATAACAATTAATACAAAATTAATCGATCCATTTCCGAACTATGGATAATTGTTTATTTAAACTTCTAGTGATGTTTTGTGCACACATTCATAACACAAAACCAATGGAATAATTAAATCTAAGGCATAAAAACACAAACACATAAAACATGAAATAAGTTAAAAACTTGATTTAATTTTACTACATTGTCCAAAAGACTGTGGTCAACATAAGTGAAAAAATATGAGCAAGAGAAAGATGAGGCATTATTATCTGGTTGGTGTCCTGTTCTGTAAAAACATTAGGCAATGCACTTTCTGGAATGTGTTGTATCGTTTTTTAGCACCTTGCAACTCTGGTTGAGACTCAGCATCCATTTTATTCAAAATTTATCCACTAAGAGTTGTTGTTATTTACTTTTTAAATCTTTCTAAAATGAGACATAGCATTGTTAGAATTATGGCATAGCTTCTTACTATATCAGTGTGATATTGTTGGATTAAATCTTTTCATCTTATCGTATTTTTCATGAATTTTGTGGATCACAGAACTAACAGCATCTTTCATGTTCTTCTGAAGACATTTCTTCCACAAGACTGAAGTCTGACGACATTTCTTCTTTTGTTGCAGGCTTTTTTTTTAAAACATAGTTCATGATAAGCTCATTTTCCCCCCTCTAGTAACTGCTTTTTATTCTTCATTGTTATTTTCAAAACCCTTGATTTTGCCTAGAGATGCAGAGTCATACGCAACAAGAAAGTTCTTATGTCAAAGTGCTGAAAATCATTTCTTGCAAAACAGTCTGACTATAGTTTCTTGCAATCCAAATTAAGGGTCAGATGATTCATTTGCTGTCATGCTTTGTCAGTGAGAAGAATTAAGGAATAATGGACAGTATTAATAAGTTTCCAGATGTTTCTGAATGTTAATTTTTTGCCACAGGTTGTCTCAAATCACCTTGAAAAATCAATTGTTGCCAACTTGAGTATTTGTAACTGGAGACACCACTCATCGTCTGAAATTTACTGACAGTGGTATTCAAACTATTCAAAACTCCGTTTCTGGTCACAAAAATTTATAATGGGATCATAAGGCAAATAAAAGAACTCAAAAGTATGATGTTATATACTTAACACTTTACCAACTGCTAGTGGTTCAACAGAATATGCATGACCGACCAGCTGCAGATTCTCCCTAATAATAAAATGTAGATGATAAAGCAAATGGCAATTGTTTATCGCCATGGCTACCGATTGATAGGCTATTTTTAGGTAGCCCTGAGAAAAAAGCAATTAATAGGCTATCGGTGATAGGCATTTTTTTTGGGGGGGCGGGGGGCTTTTTTTTTTAAGCTGTACATTTTTTTAAGTGGCAAGAGGATAAAAGGCAATAAATACCATGTAATTCCTCTAATGTCTGTTTTACATACTTGGAAAGATGGACGAGAAGATCTTTAAAGTAAAAAAATAGTATCTCTGAGGGAGAGTTTATTTATTTATTTGTTTTGCTGGTGTACTAGCAACAGTAAATACTGGGCATTCAGAGGTGGCCTTTTTTTTTACCCTGGAATGAACTAAAATGTCTGTATTTGGGTTTTAAAAGCAGAGAGAAAAATTCTGTTTAAAAAAAAAGAAAAAAAAAAAAAAAGAACTCTGTGTATTCATGCGATCTGGATGCACAAAAAAGGATCAACTGAAACAAACAATTCTCTGAAGCCAAATCTTTATGCTGATGCACTGTATATTAAGAAGTTTATTGAAGCAGGAAATGTATGCTTATAAGCAGAAAAAATCTACTGTTTACTATTTATATTATTTTGATTTCCCATAAAAAAATTCTGTAAAAAAGGAAAAGAAGGAATGTTTGTGTATTCATGCGATCTGGATGTGCAAAGAGGGATCAGCTGAAACAAACAATACTCTGAGGCCAGCACATCTTTATGCTGATGCACTTTATGCTGATGGGTTAGTACATAAGACAGTTTCTTAAGTCTGCTGTATTAAATTGTATTGTCTTTTAAGGTACACAATTTAAAATTCGGCTGTGAATCTTGTACTACTAATTTTTTGGAAATAATTTCAGCAATTATATCATATTTTATTGAATTGCTTATAGTGGTTAAAATTTAACTTGTATACAATTTCGTGGTATTTCATTAGCTCTTTTGAAATAATGGTAATATAATTCTTTGATGATTTAATCTGATTAATTTGAATGATTTTGATTTTGTTGTAGGTTTAGAGCTAGCAAAACATCAAGAAAGCAATGATGCATCATGCCTTCCAAGTCTTCAGATAGATGATGTTGTAAAGATTGCTGAAGAGACTCCATTAAAATTTACCTCACTTGGTCATTACATGAGTATATGCTTATCTTATTTTTAAATTTTATTACTTTGTTATAAATTAAAATATCAGATGTTGTTTATACTGAGAAAATCAGGATATTAAAATATAACAGTGTTGAAATTGTGTTTCCAATTTTAGTTCCATTCATAATTCTATCCCTTCTACTAAGAAAGCCTCAAATGTGCACAGCTTGGGACTTGAAATTGTGTGGAATTTAGAGTTCGGACCTTAAATATAAAATCATTAGATTTTAGATTTAAAGGGAAAAAATTCTTCAAAAGAATATTAAAAGCGTTTAATTTTTGCCTTAAGGGCCCAAGGCCCAAAGGGTTTTTATCCGAAACAGTTGTGTATTAATTAAATAATATAAGATCATAATAATGATTTTAATTCTTATTCTCATCTTCAAAATTAGTCTTATCTTCAGAAGTCTGTTTAGTATCAGAACTGGAGACTTGCTTTGTTCAATAATAAATCGGTTACTCCGAAAACATTACCGTTTTACTACAGGTTTTAAGTGACTTATTATTAACCCGTTTATATTTTCCATTCACCATAGGATCTGTAGTCAACTTCTAATTAGCCGAACCCTGTTCTGAAAAAAAAGTTGTTTGCTATTGCAAAATGATGAAAAAATTACTGTCACTAACTGTCTACATAAAACAAAGTTTTCTATGGAAAATACAAAAGGGAAAAAAAAAAATAAATTTAAAGCACCAATAATAGCAGATGTTATGTACCAGATGAATTCTTCTGGAAAAAGCAAAAGGCTTTCTCTTTTTATGCAAATTTGAATTCACTGTCATTCGAACTCTTTTGTAAATATTGTTCTTTAAATGCCTTTTGTAACTTAGTTATGCTTTCTTTTTGTTTTGACTACCGATTTGATTTATGTAACTAAATGAACTTATTCTCCAGATTAAAATTCTGAAAATACATATACATTTTTAATAGAATTTTTCTGTTAATTATAAAACGAGTTATTCCTCTTGCCTGTGTTTTTTTAGCATCATCAGATTAACCATCAGATTTTTTTAGCGTCATCATATCATGATTTTGAGTAACAATAGGCTTCACCCTTTATGTTATCCAGTTAATTGGGAGTTAATCGTAGTTTTATATTTACTTTTCATTGATTTTCCTGTTACTTCAAAATTTGGAGACTAAACATATTTCTTTTACATGAATCCTTCAAATGGCTTATTTTGTTATTTCAGATTTGTAGTGCGTTTCGCTTAAAATCATATGTGAAATTAAAACCCTGAAATAGAAAATTAAGTACAATCTGAATGTTGAATGTTAACTGAAATTTTAGTCTTTGGTTGCATATTTGTTTGGAAAGAGATTTTTTGAGGGAGGAGTACATCTTCATGCTAGTGATTGAAAGCAGATTTTGCACTAAATGTGCTATTGCTTTAAAGAAAAAGGAAAAAAAAAAAAAAAAAAAGGATTGGTTAAAATTAGGAAAATTCTTCAAATAAATTGATATAAATTTTGTAGAATTTGGCTGGAAATGTTTTACAGTGAAAGCCAGTTTTTATCCTTTTTCTGATTAAGAATTTTTATTTTTTTATTTTTTAAACAGATAGTGTGAAAGTCCAGTTATGTGAACAACCTACAAATGAAGTTGTGTATTTTAAAGCTTTAGTGGATATTGCTTCTATAGCAGAGGAAGATATCATGTTGTTACCTCTGTTTTGCTCTATAATAACTCAGTGAGTGTTGCTAATTATTTCTTATTTTGAAATTTTGAATCTGTTTTCATTGTGCATTCAAGTAAATTAGTCATCTTTTTTCCTTTCTTTTCTTCTTCTTCTTTTTTTTTTTTTTTTTTTTTTTTTTTTTTTGTTATTTACATTACATTAGTTATTGGTATTTTGTGTTACACTTATGTTTTTTCACTTTTTAAAAAACCTGTAATTTATTACATCTTCCTTCCTTACTTATTTTAAGTTTTATAGCTCATATATTGTTTATAATACAATGTTGTTTATTTCTGCTTCCATTGTGTAATTAGACAGCTGGTACTGTCTACAAATCTGTTAGATTTTCTTCGAGTAATTTCTTCTGTCTGTGTTCAAAAGCTAATGTGGGACAATATATTTGACATCTTAAAGAAACTAAAACATAATATTATTTTAAACTAAACAATTAATGTATCAGGAGTGCAAATAAGTCTCCATCCTTTTCTTTTTAATCAAAAATTGGGCATTTGCTGTGAAATAACGGTACATTATTTCCCTCTCTAGCTCTCTCTTTTTTTTTTAATTTGCATAGTTTAACAGTATTACATTTTATTACTAGCAAACTTTGGTCCATTTAGTTTTTGATTCCAGTTTTATACTTGAGTAATTGGTAATTAATCAGCTGTTAAGCATATTTTTAAGTAGAACATTTCATTAACTATTTATTTGATAACTCCTTTATAAAAATATTTTCTCACAAAGTTAAATATTTATCAGACTGGTTGCATTAACCCCTTCGCGCTGACTGTCACGTCTACGTGCCAGCAACAAACACACTCACTTCCCAGCCGACACGCAGGCATGCCAGAGCATTTTCCCGTTCAGCCCCGACTGTCACGTATTTGTGCCAGTGTCATGGAATGTTTTAAAAACTATAATTTCTGCCACAAGATGGCACTGTATGTCCATATGGTTTCAGATACATGTACATTAGACCTTCTACTCGAAATGAGAGAAGCATGACTCACATACACGTGTCACATACACTCACATGTAAACAAAAGGGGAAATAAATCTTTCCGAATGGCGTACTTTATGATGTCTCTTTAAATTCGCACGTGGTAGTTGTTTATTGTAAGTAGAGAAGTTTTATTTTCGCTAAAGCTTTGGGTATTTCAGTTTGCAGTTCAGTATTTAGAAAATAATTAGATCTTGTTAGACGTGAATTCTTTCTGTTTTTACTGTTGCAATGTCAAAGCGTCAAAAATGTTTAACAGAGCATGAAATAGCAGAAATGATGCAAATATTTCAGATATTGATTCTGAAACAGATTCTGATAGTAGTGATAGTGATACGACGATGCTTCGTTTGTTCACATTCCCGGAAAAATCCTCCAAAACGACAAATGAGTTATTACGAGTGCAAGGAGTGTAACATAGGACTGTGTGTAGATCCCTGTTTTCAAATTTTTCATACGAAAAGAGAATTTTAAGTAATATATTTAGTTTTCAGATGTATAATGTTAAAAGTCGTAAAATGGTGAGTAATGAAAGTAAAATGTGTAACATTTAAACTAAGGTAATTAAAGTATATATGAAAATATCTATAAAGCATAAGCCGTTTAAATACTCTGTAGAGCATTATTAAACAATGCGTTGATACTTCGGAAATTTCATGGATTTAAGCTTAATAGCAAAAAAGCCCCTGGCCCTATCCTGATGCTCACATAAGACACTGCCGGCCTCCGCGATACGCGTGCGTTTGCGCTACCCGACGCAAAGGGGTTAACCACTGATTTTATTAAATGATGGAGACTCTATGCAGTTAATCCAGACTGGTTTCAGAATTTCGATCACTTCTTGCATTGAGTAACAAAACAGGAAGAAGTGGATAAGACACCAGAACTTGACCTTCACCTGTTTTATAAATATAGTTTTGTTATTTTCAATTTCTGTCTGAATTTTGATGGAGAAAATCCCAGGTGATAGATCTAAAGGTCTCCTACCAACAAACCACTTGAGAGGTTCACCAGTTGTCCCTTTGCTACATAGAGACTATACACATAGAAATATCCGAACCCTCTCCCCAGAAATCAATCCTGGTCCCAATGCTATGGCAACCAGCATCACTAACTATTATGCCAGTTAGTATGATTTGATGGTCTGTACCTCGTGTTTGATATTCAGATAAGAGTCGAAACAATGTTGCTAATCAATATAATAGGAAAGGCAAGTTTAAGATCACTGACAGTATAATCATTCTGTGCATGGCAGTCTCCTCTAACAGCTAGTATAGAGTATTCTTACTTTATGACCATGCCTTTTATATGCAAATAGTTATTGGATTAATAATTAGAAGTTTCTGTGCCTAAGTCTGCATTGTGTATTTTTGTGTTTCTTCTTAGGATGGGTGCTGGTAAAAGGAATTATAAAGAATTTGATCAAGAAGTTAATTTAAAAACTGGTGGACTCGATGTATCTTTTCATGTGTCTGATAATCCATCAGTTCAAGATAAGTTCGACATGGTATAAATTTTGTATTTCTACAAAGAGTTTTTTTAAAATTTAATTGTAGTTAATTTCATGATATTTAATTCAAATATTATTATAAATATTATCATTTAACCACTGAAATATGTGTGTGCAGTATATATATGATTATATTACCATAATTCTTAAATTTAGTTTTTACTAGATAATAAAATGCTAATTCTGCACAAAAAAAAAAAAAAAAAAAAAAAAAAAAATCTTTTCTGATTGATATATTTTTGAAATTACTTTTATGAGTTTTAGCATAATAAAATATATAATTCGAAAATTGCATTTTAAGTGTTCAGAATTGCCCAAAACAGAGACTTGTAATATCTGATGTAACTGATAAAATTGATTGAGAACACCTGAGGGAATTTTTTAAGTAAGGTAGGTCCATTTGTAAATACCATTCGAAATTTCACATGTGCACAAGAATAAATGCATGTACAAATTCCTGGCATTTCTTCAGTGCAGCTATTTCATATAAACTACACAAGCTATAACTTAGGGACCCCACTTTGTTAGGGGGCCCTAAAAAATTTAAATAGAGTATAAATATAGTGTTAAAATATAGTATAAAAGGCCCCATATCGCAAATAGCTTAGGGCCTTATCAAGTCTAAATCCGGCACTGCATTTCTTGCACATAATCAGATGTCCCTTGCATTCACAAGTTCATCTGGAGACTTCATAGTGTGAGATTAAAGTGCTTCAGAAAATCGAATGCCCTTTTGACTGTCAAATAATGATTAATGGTAATAAGTGTGAAAACTGTGGATATTCATAGCCAGGTGTATGAAATGTATACAGACAATAAAATGCAGAAGTGGGTGAGATTGTTCAAGAATGTTTGTAACAAATCTTACACTGATCATCTGTCTGTAATCTGACAATTTTGTACAGGCAGTTGAAATCCAAATTCACACAAAGAAGAGATTTGAACAAATGGCATGGAGAAGTAAAAATGGTTTCAAATAACTGGCCATCATCATTGCTAGCATAGTTTTAAGAAGGTATCGAAACACCATTGTTCATTTTGATAAATGTTAAACTAGCATGTTTTTATTTATACCAAAAATTTTATTATTTTAAAGTACAGTGTGTATCATAATGGTGTCTGGAATTTTAATGTGCCATGTCTTCATAAACAAAAGTGACAAGATAATTCAGTGTATGATGATTAAAGGAGGACTAGTTTAAGTTTTATAAACATGAAGAACTGATTTCCTATGTGCTCACACATTTTAGTGTGTCAGATATCTGTCTTGTAATCCAGTTTAACCCACACTTGTTCAGATCAGCCTAACAGATGGATTTTCCGTGGGCTTCCTAGTCATCTTAAACACCAAACTTAATGTTGTCTGATTCTTTTTCTTTAAAGCTGCAAGGAGGTATTTGTGTTCCTACTGTTTCAAAATTTAATGAAACTGAACAACATAAGTAAATAGACAAAGCTGGAGCAAATCTGACTTGAACTAGTCAATCTGAGTTGAACTTAAATCTGACTTGAATAGGCATTTGATGTGTCATGAATGATAGAAGAATGCAGCAAGAATTTTTTATTGAACTTCTATAAGAACTTTTAGATGTTTTTCTTTCCATTACTAGCCCTATTATGCTGTCCCTTTTCTGTATGATTTAGGGGTACATTAAATTCCTGGAAACATGTATTACTCATCTTCTGTGTGTAAGATAGTTCAGCATTGTTTCTAAAAATTGCTTAAGAACAGAATAATAATTTTTATTTGAGTATAAAAGAACATTTTGAAAAGAATACTTTTAGTTCTTTGATCTCACATCCTCTAAAACATTGACGCAGTTTTTAAATAATAAATGGAAAATATAACTTTGAAGAAGTTGTAATTAACATCTTGAGTAGCTACATATTTATCTGAAATATTAATTCTTGTGAGAAATAAAATAAGTATTTATGTATGATGCTGTAAAATTTTTATATATTTACTTCCTGTATTATAAATAAGAGTAGTTGCCATCATTGTATACTCATTGTAAACTCTATGATAATCTATATTTTATTTTGCTTTTTAAATAAATATGTATATACGTAGCGTATTCGGAAACTAAGTACCGTTTCGTTCTAGCGCCGTCGCAGTGCTGTGGTAGGCATCCCGTGCATGCGCACTAGTCTTTCTAGTTCACTGACTTTCAATTGTCGCCATTTTTGTTGCTCTATGTTGTGTTTTCAGTTTGCTGTGTTTTGCTGTGCACATTCAAAATGTTTAAGACAATTAGTTCTCCCGCTTACTGTGAGATTCGTGCCGTGATTAATATTTTTGAACGCGAGGAATGTTAAACCGGCCGAAATTTATCGTCAGGTGACAGAAGTTTATGGTGAATACGCGATAAGTGATGAAATGGTGAGAAAGTGGGTAAGAATGTTTAATGCAGGTCGAACAAATGTCCACGCGAGGCTCGGAGTGGACGGCCTTCGTTGTCACCGATGATTGGTAAGGAAAGTTGATGAAGCAATTCATGAGAATAGACGCTTCACAATGACAACTCTTTCAGAGGCATTTCCACAAATTTCACGTACCGTTTTGTTCGAAATTGTGTCTGACCGCTTGAATTATCGCAAACTGTGTTCCCGATGGGTTCCAAAAATGCTCACTGATGTTCACAAAACAAAGCGACTTGGTAGTGCCTTGACATTTCTCACGCGGTACAGTGATGAGGGAGGAAACTTTTTAAACCAAATTGTGACAGGTGATGAAACTTGGGTGTGTCATTTCACACCAGAATCGAAACAACAATCGATGGAGTGGAGACACACTCATTCTCCGAAAAAACAAAAGTTCAAGTGACAATGTCATCACAAAAAATCATCTGCACTATCTTCTGGGATAGGAAAGGCGTTTTGCTTACTGAATTTCTTCCCAGAGGTGAAACCATTAATGCGGCACGATCTTGTGAGACTTTAACAAAACTAAGGTGTGTCATTCAAAGCAAACGAAGAGGAATGCTCAGTAAAGGAATTGTGTTGCTCCATGACAATGCTCGGCCCCATACTGCTGGTGTCACTCAATTGTTAATTCGACAGTTTCATTGGGAGCAGTTCAATCACCCGCCGTACAGCCCGGACTTGGTGCCATCCGACTATCACTTGTTCCTGACATGAAGCGCAAACTTGGTGGCAAGCGCTTTGGATCTGACGATGACACAATGCTGTGGAGTCGTGGTTATCGAAACTGGCGGGAAGTTTCTTTGACGATGGTATACAAAAACTGGTCACCCGCTATGACAAGTGTTTGATCATTGGCGGAAACTATGTTAAAAAACAGTTTAAGACATGTATTTTCATGTAAAAATAAAATTGGATTCGAAAAAATTGTTTTACTATTTTTTTTTTTCAAAACGGTACTTAGTTTCCGAATATGCCTCATATATACAAACACACATACAGGTTCCACATTTACACACTTAAAAACAAATATTATCTATGTATTAGTTTTGAAGGTGAATTGAATTATCTTTACAATATATATGTAGTATTGTGTTTGCTCAACACATATTGATACTCTCAAGAGTGTAGTATGTGGCATATGATGTATGATAGTGAATCAAAATGGCCTTAAGGGTCCTTGAATGATGTCATGTAGAGCAGGAAGTCTTTTGTCAAGAAATTACAGCAGCATGTCCAGCAGTCCTTGTGGACGTATTGACCAACATTGTTCAAGCAACTGCTTGTGCTATGTTGCTGGCAATTAATGACCACCACTTTAAGTTACTGTACAACTACAGGTGCAGGAAGATTTTATTAAACCTAATCTAACATATTATATATGCTTATATTAACCAATTATTAAGTTCATTGCTATCATTAAGTCAAAATAAAAGTACTTTGTCTTTAAAAGGTGTATCCATTTTTCTGATGGACCCTGTATGTATGCATATGTATATGTATATATATATTATAATCTTATGCAAAATACATTCTTTAGCATTATTGTTTATTACTCTATTTTAAAGTTTCTGCTTATTTATTTTTAGTCTTATTGCATCCAATGTTTTGTATTTAATTTAGAAAGTAAATTTCCTTATTTCCTTCTTTTTATTTATTTTTGTCTTTAGGTTATGATCAATGCTGTTTCTAAGACATAAGTAACAATGCTAGAACTGTGCCAATCAGTTAAACATATATTTCTTAAAAACCTAAAGTTAATGGAAATTATAATTTTGTCTTCTGTTTTTTAATTTTTTTTCCTCTTTCCATTAGGGAATACTTTTTTCATCTTACTGCCTCGAGAAGAATGTAAGTGACATGTTTTCTTTGTGGAAGGATGTTTTCTGCGAGTAAGTACGACACATTTTTGGAATCAATTTGCCTAAAATAATTAACTAAAGCATTAGATTTACAATACCCTTTGTTTGGGTTATTGTAATAGTTAAAGCAATAGGAAGTTTGAACCACTTAAACGAAATATGTTTTATAAATTGCTTGAATTTATATTTTGATCCAAATAAAATGCATACCATCTGTTTTTAAAAAGTTAAGTTTTAGCTCCTTTTCCTGTGTATATTATTCAAAATTCAAGTCGCATTTGATGGCATCATGTTTTAGAAAGTTTAATATTTAATAATGAGAAATAATTGAACAGCTGCATATTTTTCTGACAGTTTCCTCAAATATTAGTTATAGCAAGAACACAAAATAAATACTTTTTTATTTAATGCTGTAAATTTTTTTCATATTTAATTCATAATTGTATATAAAGTACAGTTTTCAACCCAACACAATTCAAAAACTTGTTTTTATAGCTAACTGTAGGTAAAAAAAAAAAAATGGTTTTTAACAAAAACAAATAATATGAAAAAGCACAACTTTAAACAATATAAAATGCAACAAAGATTAAAAAAAAAAAAAAAAAAAAAAAAAAAAAAAAAAAAAACAACTGTGAAAACCTGTGGAAAGTATTAAATTTCTGTATTCAAACATAGGTTTTCTAGTTATGTTATTCTTGCTATTTATCTGCAATTATGTTTATAAATTTTCATTTTAAAAGCTATTGGTATTTGAATTTTCTTTGTATTATATACTGTTTGATCTAATGTATTATATTGTGGTAAAATATGTAATCTTTTTCTGCTTGTAATATCATACCTTTTGTATCATATTATGCTCTTAATTTTTTCCCTTTTAAATCTGAGTAACTCTAGAAATAATTATAAATTTAAATCTTAAACTGTGAAATATTTCTGACTTTGTTTCTTATGGACTTTCTTTTTCCATCTATTAATATGCAATTCAATCTTATTATTGTTATTTTTTTAAGTGTTCAATTGAAGGATAAGGAAAGGCTGTCTCAGTTGATTAAAATGACAGCAGCAGAACTGGCACAAGGTATTGCTTATCGAGGTCATATCTACTCAATGACAAAAGCTAATAGTTCTTTAAATATTGCATCTAATATAAAGGAAAAAGCATCTGGTTTATCACAGGTATAATTTTTTTTAATTTCTATTTTTTATTCCCTTTATCCCAATCTACATAAATAAATCCATTTTATTTTTTGTTAAAAGCAGTAGAATTTTGATTATTTGCTAGTCTTAAAAGAGATAAACTGTGCAAATCTTTCCACATCAGATATGTGAGTATAATAAAGATCTGTTTTTTGTATCATATTATAAAACAAGAGCAAAATAAAGAACAGAAATAAAAATTTGAATTGAAAATAGTTCTTGTGCTACAGTTTAGCTTGCTTTCTATTAAATACTTAAAAATATAATATATAAAATAAATCTGAAGAATTAGGCCATCATAAGCATCAAATATCTCTAACCTAACTTATTTGTACCACTTTAATTCAGTTTTATTTGATACACTGATATAATTTTATGGTGAATTTTCATATGTTGGTACATAAAGTTTAACAACTTGTAATATAAGTGTTCATAAACATCTGATGTGTTATAATTATTAAATTTGCACTCTTAAGTTTTAATGAAAAATTTCTTTGTGTATAGTTTTATCTGATAATATAATACTGTATTTTTTCAAATAGTATTTTAGCTCAGTTATATTTTATTGTACGATATAAGCTGTTATGAGTTTTTTTTTTTTTTTTTTAATTTTTAATTTTTCCCTCTCTTCTTATATGTAAACTTTCCCAAGGATGTGTATTGTTTTCTTTTAACATGAAAAATCCCATTATTGTAAAGTTTTCAAATCAAAAGAACCCTAGGAATAAATGATTTAGCAACTTGAGCAAGTGTTGCTACTGCAAGAAATTAAGATCTTTATTTTCGTCCTGCTGTGATATGTGCTGATTCTAAAGTTGTTTCTATTCAACAATGCTTCAGGTATCCTCCCCTAATTTAATAAATCTGCTATTGATCAACAAATTAACCCAATTAATAATTAAATTTTTATTTACTTTTATAATGCATCTTATTAATATAAATTAAAATTCATTTAATTTATATTATGTCTAACTGATAATTTTTACGAAAATATGCAACTGTATTTTAATTAAAAGCTATTTCTAATGACATGTTATGTAACTAGTCCACTTTTTCCATACGTTATATTGTTAAAACTGTCACAAACATTGCACTTTTATTTTTTATAAATTGTATGTTGTCATGTTCTTAAATAAAATCAGTCATTTTTAAATAATTTTGTGCAAGGCATCCTTGTACCTTTCATTCCAATGTCTGAATTTTTTAAGCCTTTTTTTCATATAAAATGGGCTTAATTCTTGAAATTTTTAACCTGGGTTGCCAGAGGAATCATAAACTATTTTTTCTGTATTTTTCAGAGATTCAGAGGTATATAAACAGGTATATTCAGATATTCAGAGGTATATAAAGATTAAAGATAAATTGATATGTTGCCCATTTTGTTCGATCACATTTTGTCATCTATCAGTCGGCTACATAATTCCATATTCATTCGACTTGTCTTTGTCAGTGAAAAACTAAACAAAATACTCTTTATAGCATAATCTGAATTGAATGTTATACCACATGAGATGTTCTGAAGAAAGCAAAGCAAGTTTGGCAATGCATCCCATCCAGGCTGTAATATTTTTTTATGGGTGATCATACTTATGTGTGGTCCCACAATGTCATAATGGAACACTACTCTTTTGTGCTTAGTGAACTCTGGACAGTTCTCAATGATGGATTTGTTCAGACTGTCCAGCTACCGACAGTACACTTTTGAATCGATTATTTGATTCCTTGAAAGGGCTAAAAAGCATACCTGTAAAATCCCACCACACTAAGACCTTTTTCTGATGAATGCTTTTATTTGCGGTGAATCATTAAATTTGTACTAACATCATTTTGTGCACCACGTGAGTGTAAACAATATGATTTTTACTACCAGTTATCAGCCACTCTCATGCTTGTACGCATCATCAAATAAAATTCTGAGTTTGTGAGGAGTAGAAACATTGAGTTTTTTGTATGTGTCCTAACTTCTTCATGTGGTCTGGAATGACGTTTTTGCAATTTCTCATCTTGTGTAATATGGGCGTAACTAACTTAATGCCTTTATTTTATTATCAACATTCTCAGTTGGTTCTGTGAATGAGGAACATAGTTGAGATCAAAACAACCAGCATGGAATTTCAGGAATTATCATTGGCACTGACATTTTTGCAGAAAGCTGTTAACATAAACGTGCAAGTTCTTCCCTTTACAAAAGTAAAAGAGTGAAATACTGATAAAATGAAGTTTGGTCTTCCACCTAAAGTCCGTTGTCACATCTTCCAAGCCACGTTTTTTATGAAGCTAAAACAGTCAGTTGTCAAATGACATAGTAGTAACATAAATGCAGGTGACTCTAGTGCTTCTGAAAATGAGCTAGTGCCATCTGTTGTAAAAATGTTTCATAGTATTTCTGACAATCCAGTATTTATTTTGTAAGATTTTAATGTTTAGTTCATTTAAAACTGTTTTCTTTTAAAGATATTATACATGAAAAAACTAGCTGAGTTGGAAAACTATGATGAGGTGTTGGAAAAACTGAAACAATTGTCCAGTATGCTCTTGCAACGAAGTACCATGAGGTATGACACTTTAATGTGCAATTTTTGAATTTTTTAAATATAATTTTTTATAAAAGCTTTTTTTATGCAAAATGTTCTAGTGTGAGATAGTTCTTTTTTTATAATTTTCATGTACTTTTTTAATTACTTACTTAAAACATATTAGTAGCATTTAGTTATTTCCAGTCATATTTTTGGTGATGAAGGAATCATGCTTATAATTGTTTGTGCTTATTTCTGTTTTCCACACTTTTTCAATGTTGTAAATAAGTAATAAAAAAGAGGAGGCTAAATTAAAAAAAAAAAAAAATGATACAATTGTTTCCAATGAGAAATACAATCCTGTTATGATCATAACTGCATCAAAAGGATTTCCTGGGAAATTTATTTTCCAGTTACCCAATTGTATTGAAGTGGTGTCTAGTAATGTCATGTAGTTTTTCTAGTTCAAAGGGGCAATTTGCCGAGAAGGACTATTAATTTTGTTTTGGTATTTTGCAAACATCACGACAAGCGTTGTTTTATTTTTCAAATTGTTGCCACCAAATATTATTGCCCTGTATTATATTTAAAGAAATTAAATAATGAAGAATCTGCATGAATGTATATATGTTTCTTGCATTGTGATAAAACAACTGTACCTAGAGCCATCTAATTTTGAATAACGTAATCCTGCTGTGAATATAGGCATCTGGAAGCCCAAATCTGAAATTAATTTTATTATTGATTTCAAATTTTGTAAAACTTTAACAATTTTTGATTAACAAAGTCAAGAATTTCAAAACGAGCAAAGGCAACGTTGTACAGAAAAAACATTTTTTTCTACAGCGTGCAAGACTGTGTATCGGAAATTTTATTAAAGATATGCTCATCTTAAAATTATTTTGCGATATTGCTCTTGAACTGAATTTTGTAATTTAAATGTGAATAACATGCTATTTAATAAATGAAGGTAACTCACAAAATGCTAAAAAAATGCCCCTTTGGATGTAATTTGAAATCTGAAACCTTCCAGACTTTTTTTATTGGGGGGGGGTGTTGTTGCTGTTTTGTTTTTTAAACATTTTGTCATTATATAAACATTTTGTTGTATAATCATTCACTCTTTTGGATGTTTATCTTTGTAAGTGTGATCAACAAAACTAAATTGTCTGATGAGTGCTTCTACTTCATTCAGTAACCTTTCAGTAGTTCATAAATATTATTGAGCTGTTTGCTATATTATCTGTACTGTCACTATAGAGTATAATTTTCACTCACAATAAAGTTTTTATTATTCAGTTTTTAACAATCTTTAAGAAAGAGTCATTTGTTTCAGAATGAATACAGTCTCAAACATTACACTAGTAACAATCTTACAGCATATTTCTTTGCTAGTAAATAAATTCTCATTGATTTCTGCAATTGTATTTTTTTTTTTTTTTCTTATCCAGTAGAATGTAAACAGTTTTGTGTAGGTATTACACCAATCAACTGTCATTTCTGGTGGCATATCAAACTCTTTTTTCTGGTATTTAATAAGCATTATTTTGAAGCAGCAACAATAACTCATCTGCTGCTATTGTGAAATCAATTCTTTGCATAAAAGTTGAATTTCTGCCAACAATTCTATATGCTGTATATTTCCTTTGTTAGAACTTAAGCAATTTTTGCATTAGGAAGAGTATCATACTGCTGAAAAAAGTTAGGAGTTAATAAAAACTATAAAGCACCCAGCCGCCAACTGCATTAAAAAATTCTATGATTTTGTTGTTGTTGTTAAAAAAAGTTGAGAATATTTATTACCCAATTTAACTGATTGTAAAGCTGCATTGAAACTCAAAATTCTTCAAAATAAATGTTAGGAAAAAACTTATAAGAATTATTCTTGTGATTTTTTTTAAACTCAAAATAATTTATTTACATGAAATTTGAAGAAAGAAGTTTTGAAATGAGGGAAATAATAGCATCAAAACACAGCTGTAATTAAGCCACTACTCACAGAAATTTCTCATCTTTGTATACAATTTTTGTGCAAATAAAACCAAAATTTAAATACATACATATTTGTTTTTTTGCTCAAGAGGAGACAAAATTCAAATTCTAAGTTTTTCAGTTATTTTTATTTCCAGGAATTCTAAATTTTACTTCCATACCAAAATCATTTAAATTATTTCATATGGGTAAATATGTAAAAAACTGCATGATAATAATTACATTTAAATTTGCTTGTTTATAGTTTTTGGAAGGGAAGAAATCCTTTATCATGCAATCAGAACTTCTGCAACAGGTTCTGACTGATGCATAAGTAAGAATTAGCTTCTATATCTGCCAGCAGAACCATAATCTGAATGCATGTGTCTTGTTTAAAAAGGAATAAAATGTCAGAAAATATCACTAGGGTTCTCGAGTCATTATAGAGGCACAGGGGATTACATTGAGGATTGCACTACCACAAATTGATTGATAGCAAATTTAAAGGTTACACTTCATGTTTAACTTATCTATTTCAGTTTCTGCATTTGCTGGTGTTTTTTCAATTTCTTATACATAGTTCTTCATTTTTCATTTTAGATGTGCAATAAATGCTACACCTGGTGCATTATCTCCTGCTTTTGTAAACCTTGACTCATTTGTAAATGATGTCCCTCAGTATCCAGTTGTCAGTAGTGCAAAACAGGTAAATATTCTTTCTTAGAACTAGTCTATTAATGAAATGTTTGTAATTTGAAAAAATATATCATAGAAATTAGGAAATTATAAAACCTAATGATAAAGTTATGTTTCTGATCCCATTTTTTATGAGTATATTTATACTCTGTTGTTAAAAAAAAAAAAAAAAAAAATCATGCACATAAAAGAATGGTGAACCATAATGAAACTGATCAAGGACACGGGGAGAGAAGGAGGAAAGTATAGAACAACTGGAGAATTTAAAACTTCATATATTGCAGCAAGAGTGGTCCAGAACCATTACAGATTAATATGCCATAGGACCACTTTGGTTTGAATGCATGCAAAGATGTGCTTTGCATTGTCTACTAACAAATGTCTAATGCTGTTCTGAAAACACCAGATGCAGTGTAACGCACAGCCACATTAAACATGTTTTGTATAACTTGAGCTAGCAGTCAACCATGTCCCAAACATATTCAATTGAGAAGACATTGTCATGACGACCATAAGGGGATTACCATGTTTCAGTAAAAGTCTGTTCCTATGTTCTGTATGTGAATAAGTGTTTGAAAAGTAACTTTGCATGCTACGTCAGTCCACATGATGTGATTGGCATAACACTGGACTGTCGGTGTGCCAGTGCATCATATTGGCAGAAATGATGGAAGTGTGCCATCTACAGTGATATGAAGTAAGCAGTGTTTGCTTAGTCACCTCCACACATATATGTTATGGTCATCTGGGTCAAACAAGAATATGGTTTCACTAGTGAAATGAAACTCCAGTCTTCTATATTTCACTGAGCATGGCCACAAATCACAGAAAATATTACTGATAAACTGTATGTGTTGTATAAATATTTGACTTTGTTAGACCAACCATTCAGTAATTCTCTACTGATTCTACATGACACTAAACTTTCCAGGGATGTGGGTAGGTTCTGCTGAGTGGTTGAAAATGTAACTGGTAATCTGAAGCACCGTGAGCCATCTTCTGCAGCCTGTGGAATCAATGCTAATAACATCATCTTCTTACTATTTCATTTCTGTGACCCTTGTGTCTGGTGATTTTTCTGTGCTTCTTGAAAAACAACAATTCATTCTTTTTGAAACTGGCTTAATTACATGTAACTTTGTCAGGTATAACTCTGAGGCATTCTATTTGGCTGTGACCAACTACACTTCTATAGAAATCACTTTAAATTCACATCAACGAAGAGCACTGGGCCTTTTGTTTCTGCCAGTTTGCTTCATTTTGGTATGGCAGACTTACATATTTAGGGGCTCTGTATGTCTCTCTACAGTTTTAGATGGCTAGATTAAGTGGCAGTAAAGCACTTTTAAATGATCTTCTGTGCATTCCAGAGTGATGAAACTGCACTTAGGTTAAGGGAATTATGCGTTCAAATATCACATGTTTCCCTCAAATGCTGCAGGTGTTATCTAGTAGTGAGAAAAGAAAGTTGGTTCAAAGTTTTCGTAATGTGTTTTTAGCCCCTTTTTTCACAAAGTGCTTTCCGAATGAGAAATCCACTATGCAACTTTTCCTTTATGCAGCATTTCAGATGTCCTTTCTGTCTCCTGCATCATCTAAATGTGCTGAAATACTAATCATTTGCATATCCCAACCTCTTTTTCCTTTCATGAGATTTTGGCATTCATCAGATCATTCTTTCCTGGTGTTGCAATTTTATTGGCCAGCAGTGTATATGGGATGGGTAGACCATCAAGATTAGTGGTTAAAATGGTTTTAGTGTGTGTTCACACAAATTATTGACATGACATTAATGAATGCAAGCAGTTACAGAAATATCCATGGAACTAATTCATTGACAATAAAAGATTTCTGAAGAATTGTAGATGTAAAATATTTGAAGTTGGGGATCAGAAGGAGAAATTTTAAAAAGCCTTTCTTCAAGCAACGTCAGTGATGATATCTATTATTACAAGATAGATTATAATATAGGTTGGCAAAATGTACAAAGACTTTGCCACTTTGCAGGTTATCGATCAAGACCCCTCACATTAGTGCATAAAGTTTGTATAAAGTGTCTTTTTGTAAAATTGTTTTACAAAATTTCACATAAAATTGTAAAAACTACTTTTTATTAATATTGTATTTTTCAGTTTTCATAATGTACATATATTTGAGTACTTTATTTGTGTTTTCTCCAATTTTATTTTTTTTAAAGCTTTAGAAATTGAACGTCATATTTAAAGTGCTTAGTATATTGTATTTTATTATTATTTTGCAAATTATTTTTTACACATTTCTAAGTGTTTTGAAATATATGTATGTTTTAAAAATGTAAATTTTTTTGGCTTTTATCTGTTTTTCCCTCTTTAAATATTTTTTTAAGTGCTACTTGGTCTGCTATATGTTAAAAAATATCTGGCAAATGCCCAGCAATCCATTTTTATTACGTTAATTTTTTTTTAGCTATTGGAAGTTTGCATAAATTTCAATGAAGGTAAAATATCTCAAAATCAAGATTTTTATCTGTTTCCAGAAAAAAATGTAATTTGGTCTCTAATGATTTAATGATGTAGATAGGTGGGTTTGGGGCACTTTTTTCTAAAGCATCATTACATTCGGTTTCATTTTCAGAGTGTGTAGATTATTTTGCTACGGAATATGTAAGCATTTTGAATAATGAAATTAGGAATGTTAAATTATTACTCAGCAAAAGTAGTTTATAACTTGTATTTATAATAATCAAAAATAGATTATTGTTTGAATCGTTTATTTAATTCAAAAGATTTTAATGTATAAGAAGGAATTCAAATAATTATAATAATTAGCCATACTCTTATTTATTTTTTTACACTGAAGGGACAAAAGTCATGGGATACCTCCTAATATTTTGTCGGTCCTCCTTTTGCCCCGGCGAAGTGCAGCAACTCGACGTGGTATGGACTCAACAAGTCGTTGGAAGTCCCCTGCAGGAATATTGAGCCACGCTGCCTCTATAGACGTCCATAATTGTGAAAGTGTTGACAATGCAGGGTTTGGGGCACGAACTGACCTCTCGATGATGTCCCATAAATGTTCGATGGGATTCATGTTGGGCGATCTAGGTGGCCAGATCATTCGCTGGAATTGTCCAGAATGTTCTAACCAATCGCGAACAGTTGTGGTCCGTTGACATGGCGCATTGTCATCCATAAAAACCCCATCGTTGTTTGAGTATGTGAAGTTCATGAATGGCTGTAAGTGATCTCCAAGTAGCTGAAGGTATCCATTTCCAGTCAATGATCGGTTCAGTTGCACCAGAGGACCAAGTCCATGCCATGTAAAAACAGCCTAGACCATTATGGAACCACCACCAGCTTGAACAGTGCCTTGTTGACAACTTGGGTCCATGGCTTCAAGGGGTCTGCGCCACACTCGAACTCTACCATCAGCTCTTACCAACTGAAATCGTGACTCATCTCACCAAGCCACAGTTTTCCTTTCGTTTAGGGACCAACCGATATGCTCACGAGCCCACAAGAGTAGCTGCAGGCGATGTCATGCTTTCAGTAAAGGCACTCGAGTCGGCATTCTGCTGGCATAGCCCAAGGAAGACAAATTTCACCGCACTGTTCTATCGGACATGTCCCTCGTACTTCCACATTGATTTCTGTGGTTATTTGACGCAGTGTTGCTTGTCTGTGAACGTTGACAACTCTACGCAGTCGTCGCTGGTCTCGGTCATTAAGTGCAGTTGGTCGGCCACTGCGCTGTCCATGGTGGGATGTTATGCCTGAAATTAGATATTCTCGGCACACTCTTGACACTGTGGATCTCGGAATGTTGAATTCTCTAACGATATCCGAAATGGAATGACCCATGCGTCTAGCTCCAACTACCATTCCGCGTTCAAACTCTGTTAATTCTCGTCGTGCGGCCATAATCATGTCAAAGCCTCTTCACATGAATAACTTGAACACAAATGAAAGCCCTGCCAAAGCACTTTGCATTTATACATTTTCTACGCGATACTACTGCCATCTGTATGTTTGCATATTGCTATCCCATGACTTTTGTCACTTCAGTTTAAATTTTCTGCATCTGAAGATCAAGATGCGACATTATGGTGTTAATCATTTTTGGAAAAAGTATTGAGGAAGAAATGGAGCAATGAGAGCCATATATGAATAAGATATGAAAAATTATAGTTATTATCTTCAATACTGTTTTTAATTGCAACTCATCCTTGAGCTACAGGCAAAAGCAGAATTTTATATTAAGTCATGCAGTTAGAATTTGAATATTCTTAGTAGTGGTAAAGATTTTTACTATCATACTTCTGATCCACTGATTTTGTATCCACAGTTTACTGTAGGATGAAAAAATATTTTTTTTTTTTCCTTAGATGTATGTCAAATGAGACATATAAGTCCTTGACATAATAAAATATTGAAGTTCAGACACATCTAATATTATCAGTCCATTGTTCATTGTTCAGTAATTATGATAATGAACAGCAGCATTCTACTGTCAGACCATGGAACCAAATTTTGGAGGATGAAAGTAGACAGTGTGAACCCTTATGTGTGTTCTCAGCATACAAGTCATTCCTTACATTTGTATAATTTCCTTCCATCAAATCCTCTTTATTGGTTATAAATTTGTTGGCTGAATATTGCTGCTCTCTGTGACTGGAAGGTAAAATTGAGTACTTAATCTACATTTTTGTACCCACACTTTTGTATTAAAATTTACCTATACTTTGCCTTTTGTGTGTCCCATATTCTAATGAATACTGCATTAACCTATTACTTTTCTTCTTACTTTGTTGTGAGAGGAAGAGATTTTTGTGATGTCTACCATTCTTTTAAACAGTACAGTGTAGTATGTATACAGTAATAGTATACAGCTTAGAAATTATATTTTATTTTTCACTCTCTTTTACAGATAAGGGTAAAATCTCAAAATCTCTTTCTGTTACATATACAACAGAGAATATATACTAAAGGGTGCAGTAAATATTGCATAGCTTTATATAATACTATTATAATAAAAACAATATGCAATGTAGTATACATTGTTAATTTTGGTAATGTGTTTCAATGCATAATTTGTCAATTAGAATAAACTGTATTTACATGTGATCCAAGTTGGGATTCTTCTGGAAAAAACATTTCTTTCAGTACAGTGGAAGAAACAGAAGAAAAAAAAAATTACTAGAAGAAATTAACAAAGATGCATCTACAAAACTGCCAAAGGATTTTCATTAATAACAGTTAACTTATTTCTTTAATAACAGTTGACTTATTTAAAAATAACTGTTTTATTATTTCTGCAATAAAATGTAAAGTTATTAAATAACTTTCTTTAAAAAATCTAGTGAAAAATACAGTAGAATTCTTATTCATTTATAATATGTTACACTATATTGATGGTGCAATAGATTTAATTTTTAATAATAAATTCATTTGTGTTTTCGATTCTTTCTGAATTCAATTTTTAATAATTAATTCAATTGTGTTTTCTTCTGTTCTTTCTGAATAAATATGTTGATTTTCTATTTTTCTGCTAATATAAACCGAAATTCAGTTTAAAAACCATCAAAAATTGACGGATATGAAAAAAATCTCATAGTAGTACAAAAACGTAACTACATATATGCATATATATATTACCAATGAAAGTTATTGCAGGCATACAAGTACAACTGAATTTACACATGTGAAGATATTTATAAATTAATGGGTAATATTGTAGCATTATATATGAAAAAATGTAAATATATTAAGTGAGTAAAAAGATCAGATGAGCTGAGAGTATACAGTTTCTAAAAATTCACTGTACCCTGATACTATTTGCAACACATAAAATCTTATAAAAGAGAAAGGAACATGTCATTTTTGAAATTTCACATTAAATGTGTACTATAGTTGAGATTAAAGAGCAAAATATTTCTTTTTTAAATTTATCCATTGAAATAGGTTATTGCATATAATGAACAAAGGAAAAAAACTGTGTTGTTACATTGTTTTATGATGGTTTAATTTAATTCAATTTTCTATTTCAGTTTTGTTTCCTATTCTTCCTAAATAATAATTTTGCTTTTTTTTTTATTATTGCTATGAATAGAAATTCAATTTTAGAATCGGTCTAAATTCACAGATATGCAAGAAATACCATAGAAAATACATGCATACGTACATACGTATATGTTAATTACCATAAACTAAAAGGTTACTGGAGGTATAAGAAATGAAGTCTGTTAAATTATATTTAAAAATGAAAATAATATAAATATGAAATAAGTTCTAAAATTAGTGGACAAAACCTATTTTTCTGCAATTTTTTCATGTTTTTTTTTCCCACTGCTGAAGAAACTTGTCAGTCCTACATATGATGCACAAACATGCTGTTTTATGTAGTATTTGCTTTTTCATTTCGTTTGTGTATCTGTGATAAGTCGTGGAACAAATTACCCATGGATCCGGAACAGTAGGATAATAGTAAATATTTAAAGGAATTAGGAAACAAAAGACTATTACAGATCTTCAGTTGACATATTCTCTTATTGCAACTAATTGGTCGATGTTTACTGTAGGATAGTGATACTGGACTGTTACAAAAATTTTTTGCTGTTTTGAGAAAGAAATATGCCTGATACTTCAATCTTTTTTAACATCAAATAATTTCTAATAGCTTTTTCAGTCACACTGTTTGATATTTTCTGAGGTATATTGTCTTAGAAGTTCTTTGTCAACAGGTCTTAAAGACCAATGTGTTTTATATCTTTTCAGTATAATTTTCACTGTAATTCTCCCATTTATCTTCATGAAAGAAAACGAAAAATGCTTTTAGTTAGGTTTTTAGTTTAAAGAGTTGATTGAATGACCTTGAAATGCATGTGCAAAAGAATAGCACTCTAAAAAATTCCAAAAGTTAGACTTTGTTGTAGATAATTCACTTCTTTAATTGAGCATTTAAAGTGAAAATTACCAAAAAAAAAGTTAATTTTAAGCTTCTAATTAATATACTAAAAAAAGCCTCTAATTAATGCTCTGAGCCACACAGGTTTTTGCTTCCTTAATGAAGACCTGTATATAAAGAGCCTTTATTAGCTAAATTTGTATGCTTACTTTGTATGTTCCTATTTTCATAAACTAACATTTATTGAGATGACATTTATATTATTATAAAAAGAAAGCAAAATATTTTAAATTATAAGCTAATATATACCAAGTGACAAAAAATGTCATGACCAGATAAAGGCAGTCATGGCACCCATAGGGTTTATGTACTAAGTATGTTCAGGACAGGGATGACATGCAGCTAAAATGTGGTATATACCTTTATACTAATTAAAGAATTTTTTTCATATGATAATTATTTTGGAAATATGCACTTTTGATATTTCAGAGTTATTTGAAACTTTCCATTGTGTGAATGTAGATAGAAATTGTGTTTCTTCTTTTTTTAGATCGAATCCTCCTGCCAGCTGACTGATAAGAAAATTCATTTTGTCTTGCCCTTTTCTGTTAATTATGTTGGTCAAAGCATTTTAACCATTCCTTATTGCCATAGGGATTTTGCCAGGTATATATTCATTGTTTTGACTTATTTTTATCTTTGTTGTTAATGTACCTTATTCTTTTCTTTTCATCCTGTCCTTTGCAATATATGTTGACAGCTGGATTTTCAGTTTTTGATCATCATATTTTTAATGCATTACATAATTATGTAAGTTTTGCTCTAAATATTACGAAAATCTCTTTAGATGCAGTGAACGATTGCAAAAGTTAAATATATCATAAGGTCTTTTAAATTAAAAATTTCCTTGTAGCTTCTTTAGAATCTGTTCTAAGATCTTTTTGATATTTGGATATTTTGATATGATAAATTTTTTTTCAAATTTCTTTCATTAATAATAATTTTAAAGCAAGATCTGAAATAATTTTACTTTCCAAAATGTTTCCTTTTTTTGAGGGGGGGAGTGTTATTTTTTCTTTTAAGATAGTCGTCCAGTGGTCAAGTATATTAAGTAAGAGAAATCTAGATATTCATTTGAATTTGTTTGCACATGACTAAATGGGGTGGCTTAGATTTTCATTTCATCCCCGTGCATAATATAAATATAAGCCAGTTCTTTCAGAAGCAGGTAGCCTCATATATTTTTTGCATAACACATTTTTTTGCCACAATTAATTTGATTTGTATTGATGTGAGATAAATTACTGTTGATTTGTATGAATGTGAAAAAGATTTGAGAATAAGCCTTTCTTCTTATATATTAGTAATATATAAGAATTTCGTATATATTATATTTCTTCTTATATATTTGAGAATAAGCCTTTTTTTTTTTTTTTTTTTTTATATGTAATATAAAGTATTCAAAAGGTTCGAGATGAATAATTAAAAAAAATAATATATTTTATCTAAAAGTATCTGTGTATTCTATTCTGTGTATTGACTCAAATTCAATTTCTTAAATTTTTTTTGGAATTCATTGATTTATTTTTTGTTTATTCTCAAATCTCTCTGCACATTAAAAATCCTAGATTTCGCCAATACTATCTTGCCCTATCTAGCTATGATACTCTTATCATTAACCTTGGAATAATTATTATGTTTTAAGCATATTTTGATTAAATCAAATTGTCTTGTTGAGTATAATATATTTATATTTCATTTCAGCTTAAAAGTGGCCTCTGAACTGCTGTCACGTAAATATCTTCATCACCAGATACGGTAAGACTTTGACATTTTTATTTCCTACCTGATTCTGGTGGCTGTTTAGTAATTTTAAATTGATTCAAGTTATTAATTTATAATTAAATCTGAATTTTTTTTTTTTTTTTCCATTCTGTATTACAGAGAGAAAGGAGGTGCATATGGTGGAGGAGCAAAATTAGGAAAAGGAGGTCAATTTATGTTCTATTCATATAGGTATGATTGATTTTGTTTATGCAGTGTTTATTATTTGTTTTATTTTGAACATTTGCTTAAAAGTGCTAAGTTAATAAGTTATTAGCTAAAATTGTGAAATTCATCATATTGAACTTGATTATAAATTAAAAATTTGAATACGTTTTTACCTTTTTAACTTATTTATTGACTTATGTATCTTTTTAGTATTATTATTGATTATCAGATGGCAAAAATGTGACTGAAATTGTTACAGTAGAAATGTTGCAATTAGAAAATTAGAAAGTGTCAGAACTTTTAGAGAGTTTTCTATTTTCTCCAACATATTTATTGGAAAGAATTGTATTATGAACTCAATTCAAGTTGCATATTGGAAAATTATTTATATGTGTTTATTTTTTATATAAATGTCTTTGTTAGCTTTATTACTGTTTAAAAATCATTTTAGATGCTTGAACTAATTGCCAGTATAGAAATTTCAGCTGAAAATTAATCAACAAGCAATGTATTTTATATTATCTGTTACTGCTATGAACAGTGACTTATTGTCAGGTGTTTACATAGAATAGACTCCATATTACATAAAATAGACTCCATATTACATCTATTACATAGAATAGAATTAATAGACTCCTCATATGTACTAATAAATAAATGTATAAATACTATCATTCAAAGTTGCTGACAACACTTTTCAAATTAATGAGTCTGTCTCTGAAGATGGTTCAGTGTTGCTATAAATAAAAATTAACTGTTGATCCTCCAATTTAATCAGGCAATTAGGCATTTTTTAAACTGTTAACAATTCAGAATTGTTGCATCAATACTTACTTTCAGTTGTAATAAATAAATGTGTGTGTTTTGATAATCCAAATGTCATGTTAAAGTTTTAAATTATAATTTTTTTCTGTTTCTCAAAGTTAATCATTACATAAAAACTCTAAATAAATTGTATTATATATATCCTAATGTTATTACCATGCTTATTTTAGAGATCCTAATGTTTCAAAGACACTAGATTCTTTTGTTGCTGGAATAGAATGGTTGATACAAACTAATCACTCTGATCAAGATATAAATGAGGCTAAACTTGGAGTTTTTCGGGAAGTAAGTGAAAAATTGGCAGTCAGTTCTTAGTTTCAAGCTGTCATTCAAAGTTTTTAGCATCTAAGATTGGGTTTGAATTCTTTACAAAGTGTAGCACTCATGTATATAGTGTGTGTGCAGAATGAGAGTATATAAAACTGTTGATCTAAAACTGCTTTTATGAGAGTGGTTGTAAGAAAAAAGAATACAAAACTCTTGGTTCTTCTGATTGAAAAAAAAAAAAAAAAAGTTGAAAAAAGTTCTTTTGATCAGAATTGAATGGAATATTCTCTTATGCATTGCCTTAATGAATAATCCAATTCTATCTTAATTGGCTCAAATAAATTCAAAATATTTTTATAAGAATATTATTGGTGAAATTTTCTAAAGAAACTAAGGAGCATTATTTTTCCAAAATTCATGGAAAGACTGATTCTATATATATTCTTTCATCATAATTGTTCTTAACACCTCTATATTTTTATATCAAAATTACAAAGTAAATTTGACTGTTATTAGAAAAATGCCTAATTCAGTGTTTCAGTGGAAGGACAAATATTTATTTGAATAATGTTATGAACATTAATATCATGAAACATAAAACTATGTATTATTTTTGACAGAAGGGTCTTTTTAATGAGAATTTTTCTCAAAACAACCTGATTTATATTAACATTGCATATGAGTATTGCAATAGTAGCTGAATGAATAAAGCATCTGAATGTTACTATTTTCATCTTAGTTTAATTTCTATGAAAGCAAGTGGTCAGCTATATTGTTTTCATAGTTTAAACATATGAGATATGAGCTGCTACTCATTTATTCATATCAACAACTATTCTAAAGCGAATCCTCTTATATTTTGCAATAATCAAAGTTATGCCTTTCTGTGCACATGAACCTGTTAAAAGATATAGCCCATTCCATCCAGTTCCTTTGCTTTTTAAAGTAAAAATAAAAAGTGCTTTTTATAATAAACATGTATAATAAAGTAATAAACATGTTTATGGTTGGCCAGTGGCCTAAAGTCAATGTACGCTGGTAGTTCAACCCTGATTCAAATCCTCGAAGACAGATTGGCTGCATGGATTTTTTTATGGTTAATCATGATTCATTTGTAACCTGGATATGGGCCAGTCTTCCTTAGAAAGACCTTCATGAGTGCATTCATGCCTTTAATAGATAGACCTTACGTGCTTTCTCATAATCAAACAGACTAAATACTAAGCATATATACTTATGATGGAGCATTCAGATTGCAAGCATTTACTTTGTAGGAAAATTTTATGAAATCTTTCATAATTCTTCTGTTGTAAAAATCTTATAAAGGATATTTATATGTTGTGTATTAAATTAAGCTGTGTTTATGATAATGAAGAAATTTTTGTATTTGTATATTAACTATATATTGCTTTCATGTTGTTAAAATAGACAGGGTACTTGACCAGTTATTCAACCAAGATATACTGCAGGTTACGTGCTTATAATAGCTCTCATTTTAGCACGTCTTACTAATTGCCCTTCATCATAGCCACTTGCACAAAATCAAATTTTCAAGTGTTTCTCAGTAGTACAAATAAGTTCTTCAAAAGTATTGCATACTGTAAAAACTTTATGTCCTAGATGGTCATTTCAGCATAAATAAAGGACAGAAGTATATTCCTTATATAAGTTTTTATTTTTAACACTGCAGACGTTTCAAAATATATCTGTCTCCTACAGTGAAGTTTGTAGATTTTTTTTTTAATTGTATTGCAGATAAATAAAATAATATGATCAATTATTAAACACCTCCTAAAAATCCTGTTAAGATGTTCATTGTTTTCAGTTAATAAAACTACATCAGCAGTAAATAGATGCTGTTGTGAATCAAATGATGCATAAAATCTAATTTGATGAGAAATCCACAGATATAATATTTAAAAATTACTTTGTGTAATTTTTAAAATTCATAAATCATTTTGTCTGTTTTCTTGCTATAAAAACTGCACTGTATAATGCAGCATATGTTCATCATATAAAAAGTCATTTCGCCTGGATTTAATATCAGTATTTTGAGCTATATGTTATTATATCGTATCACAAATAAAATCTGTTTAACCCTCTAATTATGAGCCAGTTGCGAATTTTCTGCTTCTTCTATGTGCTATCATCTGTATTGAGAATAGACTCTAAAAGCTGTAATGAAATTTTTTTAGTAAAATATAGATTGCAGACTTTTCTCTAAATATTTTTGTTTTTAATAAGTGAACTTTTTTAATGTTTTGATATTTTTCTATTTATACCATACCATTGTATACTCATAAAAAGAAATTAAAAAGGTTAGTGGAGCTTTTAAAATCGAAATTCTTTTTATAGTTTAATGAATTAAAATTTAGTTTTATGAATTGGCAGCAATAAATGTTATTTTATTTTTTTATAAAGAGGTAAGCAATGTTTTCATATTTTTAATTTTTAAACTCTGTAACAACAAACTTTTCTTTTAGATGTTAAACTATTATTTAAAGTTTTCATGTAGGAACTTATAATTTATATGCATGCAAAGCATAATACAGAAAGCTCCAAGTATTTATGAAATTAAATTTTCTTCTGTTTGATTATCCTTTGGTTAGTGAAACTCATATTAACTCAAAGTGTATTTAAATATTAGGTAGATGCACCTGTGCCTCCTGGATCTAAAGGTTCCTTGTTTTTCAAAGAAGGAATATCTCATGAAATGAAACAAGAACTCAGAGATCGTGTTTTCAGCTGTACTAAAGGAGATTTAGTAGAAGCTGCACAAAAGTATGAACTTTTTATTTTAATTTTTAAAAAATTGATAAAAATTAGTGTTTATAAAATAAGCTTTTATTTAAAGTTCATAAAATAACTAATGGACTAGATAGAGAAAAATCATTTATCATATAGTTTAAGAACAATGGATTAAATAATTCTCTTTACACTATTCTTCTGCGGTTTTATATCACAATTACCAAAAGCACATATTGCCTGTGATAAGATTTATAATGTCTTATACTTTTGAAAATGCATTCGACTTTTCTAATCACTTTGTCACATGCAACATTTCAAAGGACTTTGCTTACAAAAATTTTGCACGTATCCTTCTTTTATTTTGATTGTTGATATGCATAAAACACAATGTCAAATGCAATTTTTCCCCCATTACTGTAAACAATTTTGAATAGAAACTTGCCAAACTACAATTTAAAACACAGTTAGAACTTGCATTTAATTCAGTTCAGCACAGTTGCTCAAATTATCATTTTGTTTTTAGGAAAGATACAGTTTTTCGAATTTTTTACAAAAGTGCTTAAAAATATAAAAGGCTGAATAGAAGATTCTAAATTATGTTTTTTTTTTTTTGAATTAGCAAACTGTAAATTTAGTTGACAGTATAAATTTCGTTAAAATGTTTGTGAACATAAAATTCACATAAAACTAATGTTTTCAGTATTGTGCAGTTTTTGTTATCTTTCTTTTTTGATATTTCAGGTACTTGCAGAATCCAACGCTAACAGGAACAGCACTAATTGGACCAGAAAATCACATAACAAAATCAGAAACCTCTGACTGGAAAGTATTAGCTGAGTGAACTGCAATGTTATTGAGAATTTTTTTTAACTTCCATCTTCAAGTGTACCTATATTGTAGATACTAATTAAGTTGTATATAATCATAGAATCAAGCCATTTGAAGTTTTTTTCATTGTCAACCCTTCTCATATAAAAAGAATTGTAAATGTATTTAATTTATTACTAGTAATCAGTTTAAATCTTATGAAGTATAAGTTTTTGCATGTTTTCATGAGTAAATATATCATCAATTATGCTACATTTGTTGGACTTTCTGGAATAAATAAGAATTTAATGACATAATTTTATAGCATCCCTTTTATATATATATATATATAAGAACTTGTAATGATGCAATATAATTGAACTAAATCAAGACTTCATGGGAAAAAAAAAGTGTATCCATGATATTTTATATATGTAGAGAATCTGAGTTTGTATGATCATATTTTATGGAATAAAAATTCTTCCCTTTTTAATATGTTCACATTTTACGTTGTTTTAACTGGTGAGAAATAATATCTATGCTTTTAATTTCTGTATAAAAAACAATGTATAACTAAATGAACTGAATGTTGAAATGCAATAATACAGTCTAAACAAAAGTTATCAAGGTTTCAGATTCACCAAGCAGTATTTCAGGGAAAAGAAAGAAATTTTAAAAACCTTCCACTGTAATAAAATGGGAAAAACAAGTAGGAAACATTGTCTGAAGGATCCAACCCAAAGGAACTGAAATGAGGCCAACTGAGGAAGACTAAATTGAAAAGTATATCTCGGAGAAAATGAAACTTTGAAGCAGCCTGGGTACTGTAAAAATCAAAGCAGGCATGAATACCACTGGGAGATTTAATCCCAAAATACATTAAAGAATAACTTGAGGAACTGAGCTCGCTGTTTTTCTAACTCTAAAAAAAAAAAAAAAAAAAAAAAAAATTATTGAATGAACTTTGCTCTTAAATTAGGTTTTTTGTTCTGCCATATATATATGTATATATATACAGGTGTTTCATATTGCATGGAACAAAACGAATAGCATAGTACAAATTCTGTAACTGATTTATTAATTCTTAAGCCAAAATAAATTAATTCTCAAACTACAATTATACAAGTTTTATCTGGCAACAGCAAAAAAATCTTCCAGTTATGAAATCACTGATAGACGCACTGTTAATCAAAATGGTGCCATCCTTGCAGGAGAAAGTATACTGTGTTTTGGAATTAGCCAAAACATTGTGGTTTGTCATCAGCCAAAGATGTTTTTCCATGAAATTTGGTAAAGACCTTTACATCATCATAACATCAAACCGTGGGTTGCAGCTTCAGGACATGCGCTACTTATGTAAAACCAGCCCAGGACAAACAGCAGCCAAAACCAAAGTGGTTTAAAAAATTCGTGAAACGTTTTTACAAAGCCCCACAAAATCAATACATCATGCGAATTCTAAATTCAGTGTACTCTGTGTTCTGGAAATGTGCACAGTTCCAGCCATACAGATGCTGTTTGCACATTTAGATGATTTTCATTGTATTTACAGAAATATTTTAAGGATTATTAAGGATTACCAAATGGAATATTTAAAGCACATTTTGTGCTTTAAATATTCCATTTGGTAATCCTTAATCTTCACTATCTTTCTACACTGTAATTTCCAAGACAAAGCCTTTTTTAGTATTGAAAGAGATATTTTATCCCATTCTTCTTGAACAGCTTTCCAAGGAGAGTTGATGTGTTTATGCAATTTGCTTTTTAAAAGTCCAGAAGCTCAAACATCCGTGGATGGTAAGCCAGGAAATTTAGTAGAGATATGAATGAAGTGTATGGCATTGATAGTCATTTCTTGTTTTGTTTTCCCTGGAAATTAACACTTTGTCTTAATGCAGTTCTACTGATTGATTGCGCTGTGGGTAAAGAAAAGGATTTCATATTTGAAAATTGGGTATAAAATATTTTCCTGGTAATATGTGAAGTTGACCTTAATAGTTTTTTGTATTCTCTTTAATTTTTATTTATCGTTATATCAAAAGCCAGCAACAGTAATAAATCCTTATGAAAAACTTTCTTCACATGCTTTAAACCATGTTCTAAGATTTTTTTCCTTTTCTTTGATAGTAATAAATATGTCTCTTTTATTGCAGTAATTTAAATATATTCAGGATTCATCTATTGTGACAACATGTTCCCGTTTTTATCTGGATAAATGCTTGTCATATGGAATTCTGCATTCCAAGTTTGGCGATATGTCGTGGAGAAAAACGATGCACATTATGTTTTTTCGCCTTTTTGAGGTTCATATCGTTGTTAATCACTTTCTATAGAGTTGACACTGAGCATTTGAATGGTTTTGCTACTGTCTTTTGACTTGGTGGAGTTTCTTTTAAAGTTCTTACTTTTGCAGCATTTGAAACATTCTATTTTTTCTTTGGATATGTATTTTGAACAATTTTGCTTCTTGAATTAATGTAATTATTAAAAAATTAATATAATTATTTATGTTAATTAAATACAACTGAATACAAAATTGCACTTCAACGCAGATGTTACCGACGGAAATATATAAATTCGGTCATTGACTATGTGGTGCCCAATGGACACATGTTGTTTAAAGTGAGTGTGATTTCTGTGAGTGATCAGTATTCAGTAGTTATGACTCAAGGGCATTATTTAAGAAGTTCAAAAGTGGCGAATAATTGGTACAATCGAGGGAGGTCAAACACAAATTGAGGTCGCTCAAGATTTGAATATCCCTCAAAGTGTCATACAGTCTGCATTCGCTTTTTAAGCACTCGATCAGTTGATAGACAGCCTGATTAAGGGCGAGCAAGAGCAACAACTGCATTAGAAAACCTTTCTCTGTCAGCGTTGGCTCGAAGAAACCGGAAAGCGACTACAAGAGGTTTGGTTTTAGACCTTCAGTCTGCTACAGGAACTCGAATTAGCTGTTCTACTGCTGCATGAAGGCTTATCGAGGTTGGACTGTATGCGAGAAAACAATGGTTTGTGTCCCATTCACTCCAGCTTCCAGAGGGGGCCTGTTTAAACTGCTGCCTTCATCATGTTCAATAGAGCCAAGAGGACTGGGCCCGATTATTGTTTACTGACAAGTCCAGATGTAGTCTGAACAGTGATTCTAGACATGTTTTGTAATGGAGAGAGATGAAGAAACATGCAACTTGCCTTCTCTTGTCTATGAAATATCCTGCTTCTGCGACCGCAGTTTAATGGTTTTGGTGGAATCATGACAAATCGCCGCTCCGAGCTCCGTATATTTAAAGCAAATTCTGGAACCTCGAGTTAGACTGTTTAGGGATACTGTTGCCCAGAGTTTTTGCTAGTGGATGACAGTGCTCGGCCTCATCGATCATATGTGGTGTCAGAATACTTGCAAATACTAGATATCACTTGAATAGACTGGCCATCTTACTCATCCGATTGAGCATGTGTGGGATGCCTTAGGGCACCAAATTTCTCCCGGAACCCTTTAGGAGCTGAAAAGTGCACTTTCAGTAGAGTGGCATGCAATTCCACAAGACTTGATCAACACTGGTGAAGTCTGAAATCAAAATGTGAGGTATGCATGCCTCTCCGAGTTCACCAAACATCATGCTAATGAAAAATTTTCCACAAGAGGAGACTTAGTTTTTTCATCATTTCTCAATTTCCATGAATTTGGTTTTAATTTCAATATTTTGCGAATAATCAGCTATGGGGTTCCTTCCTTCTATCGAAAACTTAAACATGGGGGAACCTAGTGAACAGCTAAGCGAATAATCGCTTAAGTTCAGTAACAGAAACATAAAGCTCAAGGAGGGTTAATTACTCTTCATTGCTCAAAATAAAGAATAACAGTCGGCCCCTTTCTCCGGGGTACAACAAAGCCTTCACTTAGGCTAAAACTCAAGCGTGAAAGAAATGAGAACTTAACTAAGGAGATATAGCCGAAGCTAACATAAATCTAACTAACTGCTCACCTAAATATCGGATTAGCTATCAACTTCCCGTAATACGGCCGAGCGTAGTAACAGCTTAGAGAGATGTGGTCAAAAGGCCACTCTCTAGTCAGAAACTCTGATTCTCTCTCAAAGTCGGTGGAACGTCGACTTACATAATATTCCTATTCATTTACATTAAACGCGATTCTAAAAACACGTTCTGGTAGAAAATTATAAGCTGAAATCAGGATGGATAGGAAAAGAGCTTTAACTTAAAAACAACTGTTTAAAACTTAAGATAAACCTTACACGACTACCAAGAATTTTAATTTATGTTAACGAGTGTTTTTGTACAAATTTCTGTGAATAATTTTTCATTAAGTATCAGCTACGTTTTATTTCTGACATTGTCCTTTAATTTTGGTGACCAAAGAATTTCCTCTTCTCCCTAGCTGCTATTCCTTACACGATATTAACAGAATAAAATGTCGACAAACATCTATAACCGCCAGATCTTTAGATCGCGAGGGGACAAATGGGCGCTACCAAGGCTTTTCTCGGAATATTACCGAATATTAGTATTACTATATCTATCACTAGAAAAGATAAATTCCTTCATTCAATATTCATAACACAATCGGGGCGAAAAATAGTTAATTTTCGAAGCATATCTAAATTTTTATATGGATTCTGTTACTGTAAATGAATGCTAAGATTAACGTATTTTTATCAAAAGTCAACTAAATATCGAGATCTAGTTGGCCTTGATTTATATCTAGTATTTTTTGTCCCCTTTTTTCATACCATGATTAAACTTCGTCTGCTTTTTATCTTATCGAAATATGATTAGCTATTCAAATTCTTTTTTCTTTTTTTCATTTTTATGCTTTATTTACTCTTTAAACGTTTTTAGTCCAAACGGGATATTAGTCTAGAAGCTGGATTTTGCGTTGAATCACTATAAAAAGCTGTATCGCTTTTTAAACTGTTGCCACCAAATATTATCGCTGTGTATTATTTTTAAAGAAATTGAATAATGAAGAAGCTGCATGAATGTATGTATGTTTCTCGCCCTGGGAACGACTGTACCTAGGGCCATGAAATTTTGAATAACGTAGTCCTGCACCGTAACATGGGGGCCCACCAGCGGCCGAGCGGTAAAATCGCTGAACGTTGATAATTCGGTCCGATGTTCAAATCCCGCAAACGGGCTGGCTACCTAGGCGTTTTCGTCGTTTTCCCCATGTGTAACGTATATATGAGCCAGTTTTACCTAGAAAGTCTTACACGAAGGCGTACCCCCTCATAGGCAGATAGGTCCCACGGCTTTGCCATTATCACATAAACCGAAACAAACTGTCGGAAATTGCAAGCCTTAATTTTGAATTTCGAATTTTATCTATTTTATACTTTGTAAACCTTTAACGAATTTCTTATGACGATTTCAAACCGAGCAGTGCAACACTATGCGGAATAAAACATTATTATCCATTTATCTCCAGCGCGAAATGTGTCTATCGGAAATTCTAAAGATACCCTGTTTTAAAATATCTGGT